TTTTGGGACGTGCGTAACCAAAACACGCAGTTCGACATTTAAAATCAAAGGGGAGCGCTCGAACTTTCTGATATGGAATTTGGGAATATTGTCGTGGATGCAGCCATGGCCAGTTTAATATAACTGGCTTTGGTCAAAACAATGTTAATGGTTTCTGTCTGTTTTGGGCCAGGTGGGATACTTGGTAATGATGCAAGACTGTAATTACCATAATTTGCATTGCGAGAAGTGACGTCGTTCTTGTGTAATGTTGTTTTGCAAAAGAATTGCGTGACATCAAACGGCCGTGGCTTGTGTCGCGTAAGCTTTCATCCGTTGTTCGGCGCCGCAGCGGCACGGGCGCTGTCCGAGTGGCGCTGGGCCTGCGCCCGCGCCCCGACTCCCACACGTGTCAGCTGCTCCGAGTTGGTCATTGATGACCAACGTGCATGTAGACGTACCGGAGCTACTACAGCTCCCAATAGCTAACCAGGGCAGGCTTGGGAAGCCAGACGACGACACTCAAAATGCTTCAGTCTCGTGGTTGACGCGTTACATCCGGCGGTAGAGTGAGTGGCTCGCAGTCGGATGGTCGAGAGTTCAAATCCCGGTTGTCGAGGTTCACTCAGCTCCAGCATCCCTCTGGGGCTGGTAAAATGATGACCACACATTGGGGGGACGTCCTATGGAGAGACTTGCCCCCGCCAGTGGAATGTTGAATTTCCACCACTGGCCAAGGGGCTGTGAACAGGAGGAAATGAGCATCGGCTCGGTGCTTGCTGAGCAGGGAACCACTGGGACTGTTTCTTTTGACACTGGGTCTTATCAAGGCACACTTAGATTCTTCGGGTTCCCTGGCATTGCGCGAGGCTCTGGGACTTTGCGGTTCGCTGGGGCCACGCAGAATGGACACCAAAGCAACTGGCAAGTTAATTTGGAGCGAGGGTTTCCCAGAGCTGCGTGTGGAAGCGTGTCGCCACGACTCGAATATCTCACGTTCGTAGAAAAGGAAGAGGATAAATATGGATCCGAGTGAAAAAAAACCTGTTGATACATTCTTGCCACACGTGTTACGTGATCTCATAAAAGGCGTTATTTTATTTTGACCTCTATCCAATATCAATATTCCATTTATACGAGACTGTAAGAGATTTGCTGTTGAGTGTTTCCAGATAAAAAAGCAATTTCTTGTTCCAGCTGTTGACGCACACCCCACTTGAATCGTGACCTTTGAACCTGGCCCTGGCGCTGTGCACTCTCAGAGCACGTCAGCAGCTGCCTGCTGCCTTCTAGCAGAAGGGACTGGGTCCCCGTTTCAAACGCACGCCGATACCGGCTGTTCACCTCGTTACGTTGACCCATCTTTCCAGCTGCGCAAATAACTCCTGCGCATACCCCTTTATTGGACATGTAATGATTCACCCCCCATTCGTTCCATGAATGGGCATGATTCCGTGTCTCAATCCAGGTCGCGAATCTATTTGTCGTTTGTCCGGTTTGTCCGGTTTCTCTTGTACCGTCTTGTTCTGTTTTGTCTGGGCCGTCTCCCGTGTGTAGTCTTGCTTATTTTTACTGACCAAATTGTGTCCTTAATACCCTCCACCACCCAGCACGGCCAAACAAATACAATTGTCCACGTGGGCAAGTGTTGTATTGCGCCACGTACTGTTGTTTTAAGATTGGCTGAGAGAATCAAATTTAGAAATTTAGATTTGTGATGTTTTGCCTGAAACTGCATCGACCATCACTAGGACCAGATCCATAAAGTCAGAATAACAATCCAGGCGTCCATGTAGGGCAGAACCGAACAAGACGACACAGACGGTGCAAAATAAACGGATAAAGGGAAATCAAATCCAAGTCAGAATGATTTCCTGGATATTGATGTTTGTCGCGTGGAAACGCTTGTACACCACGTGGAAGTGTAAATTGTTTGGTTGGTTGTGTCGGGTGGTGGAGGGTTTCACAATATAAATTTAGCCAGATCGCTGATAAGTTAAACAGTTTTGAAAAAAAAAGGTTCCACGTAGCTCCTTTCAGCTAATTATTTTCGGCAAAGATTTCGACAGCTCTAAGCCAGCCAATGTCATCGGTGTTGGCCACAGGTGTTGCCCTTTTTCAACACTGCACTGTGTACACAGTCAACAAGCAGTGAATGGCACTTGAGAGATAAGGCCAATACAAAACATTGTGCTTCTCGGGCAAAGTGTTCCAAGATTGGAGCAAAAAATAAATATTGGTGTTTGTATATATTATTTACCTGCAGAGCAGGTGGTGGCTATAGATGGGGGAGTATGAGGAAGAGGTGGAATGAAGAGGTGCGTCTCAGAGGGAGGGATGTTTACCAGAGGGTAGTGACAAAGGGTGGGACAAAGGATTGGTGATCTCATTTGTAACATATTTGGCCAGGTTATGTTCATGCTTGGGACGTGATCCGTGACACGTTCCGTGGCTATGTCACTGACTGGGGATCACACTCAAGAGGAAGTCGAGTCCCTTGCCATTTGAAGAATTCTCACAATTCGCCGATGAGTTTTTAACAATGTCGTGCATTGTAGCGTCAATTACGTACATTAGCTGCATACATGGGTTAGGTAATTCTCATATGCAACAAATGGTGTGTCACAAGTGTAAACATTAATTGTAAGTAATGAATTAATCGCTGCACCACTATTTGAGTGTTAATGGAGTGATGGTGAGTGCTTTTACTTACATGACCTTCTGAGTGCCGAATCACTCGCTCGGGCACGCTGGATAACAAGTGGCGTTGTGGGACCGGGGGCAGTTTGTCTGCTTACAGCCATCGAAACAACGATTCTAAAAATCTTGGATTAATGTGTATAAATGCAACTGCATCTCCACATACTCTACAAAGTATGTAGATGCGTGCAATGAGAGGACTTTGGGGGAGAACGGAGAGCTTTATCACGGGAGTGCAAGGGTGGGAGGCTACAGGGCAGCGAAGGAAGCCCACTTTGTGGGAGAAGTGACGGAAGGTCTTGAGTCTGGAACAAGAGGAGGTCGCCAGCCGTGTGAGCTGCTGGCCGAGTGAATTCTAGACGACGAAAGGAGCGACCTCCCATTGAGCCGAGATTGCCTTGGGACTCGGCAAAAGGTGTTGGCTGCTGGAGCGGAGAGCGCACGGCGTGGCGTAGGAGGATTCGGTGTGGGCGAGTCCATGCTACTGCAGGGTCGTGGAGACGGTGCGCGGGCGGGCTCCTGCTGGTGACCCAGCTCTGGCATGAGAACCGGTGGAGCAGCGATGGAGTGTGGGTCATTACAGGTTCGGTGAGCATTCCGGGCAGGGGAGCGCTCCCTCTGCCTTCAATAGGCTACTTGTCGAACCTGATCCGACTGCTGATAAGATATTGAATGTCGAAACCGGTGTTGAACCTTTCACACCTCGGATTATCACGGTTGGCTACGTACGGTGCGAAAGAAGTTCAGGAATTATACACTCCCAGGAGGCCGTGTGGCTGATGGATGCGTAAAAAATACTTTTATTTTGTATGTGGTGGGATGGATATGTGAGGCGTAATGTCTGTTTATTTGTTTTGTTACCGTTCAGTGTGCTTGCAAAAATAGCTTGGGCATACTTGTGTATTTCTCATTCAACATATATGGAATATGGAATACACGTGTAAGGCATTGGCTCTCCTGCCTCTGGACAAGCCGCCACCAATGCCACGTAGCTGTTGAGATCATGCGTGCGTGGGTTATTGACACGCTGCTTGGAAACGTTTTGTTTCTCCGTTTGATTACCCCACACCACACCCTTATGTACACGTATCATCGCTCGGAACATTATGGGGCGTCCCTTGCATTGCATTCTTTTATGAATGTATGACTGTGTTTCTATAATTATTTTTAATGACTCAGCCCCTTGACATGCCTAAAGTAGCATTGCTTTACTTTTGTTGTCATTTAGATGTCATGCAAAGAATAACCCGAACAACAGGAAAACCCAGATTTGTGTATCTCGGGTGATGCTGACCTTATTGGTGACTTCCTGGAAACATTCCTCATCGTGGCTGTAGCAATGCCGTCTTTTCCAGATGTTGGTCAACCAGTTTTGTAGCTCACGTGTTCCAGCATGGCATATATCATACTTAACACGAAAATTAGAAAAAGTTTGGCTGGCTGACTGGCACGCAGGCGGGCAAGTGTGGAGTGGTGACGTCACCACGCAAATGTGAGTGGTGACGTCACCACGCAAATGTGAGTGGTGACGTCACCACGCAAATGTGAGTGGTGACGTCACCACGCAAATGTGAGTGGTGACGTTGACGCTGCGTGACGTCACCCTCCACCCTGGCTCTCTCACCTGGGCAGCCCAGTCTCGGTGGTCTGGCAGTGAATGTGGGCAAGCAAGGTCTATAAAAAAAACTTGCCATATTCAAAGCTGAGTATAAGGAAAATAACTAGTCCGTAAATGTTATTCACATTAATAACAAATATTTGTGTTGCCGTTTTCTAATTAACATTCTACGTTGTGCGATTGCTGTGCACTGCACTTACGAATATCCATAATTTCAGCTGTGAACATTGTTTTAAAGATCATCTCAGATATGGGAGAGAGAAGACAAATGGGCCTGTGTGCTTGGGTGGCTTGTTCCAAGGACAGGATGGGATGAGTGCGCATGTGCTTGGGTGACAGGCTGGGGTTGAGCAACGTGTCGGGTGTTAATCCACGCAGGAACCCAGGGGATCATGGGAATGCCGTGCTGCCAGTAAATGTGGCCTTTAGATCGTTTCATATTTGTGAATGATCTCCTCATACCATCCTGCACTGCTGTTGCAGATATGAGAAGTTGTCCTTCATATGAACCGTATCAATGTAAATGTCATAATGGACACCTCAACCCCAGATAGCGGAAGTATTTGCATCGGCTGCGTGTGTGGAAGATGCTCTCGTGCGAGCGTTAGGAGTGTGTGGAGAACGGTCCGGTAACGAGGAGGAGGGGGGGAGGCCTATGAGATAGCGTGGAGTAACCCTGTGAGGTGGCGTGCGTGTGTCGCAGGAGAGCACAGCTGCGCGTCTGCCTGGAGCGTCTGAAGAACATGGTCCCTTTGGGGCCCGAGTGCTCGCGACACACCACCCTGGGGTTGCTCACCAAAGCGAAGAACCACATCAAGGTAGGAAGGAAGACCTGGTCAACTTCTTCAGGTGGCTTTGTGAGATAGGTTGTCATCACTGATCGGTATGCCATGGCTTCCAGCCTAATTCGATCGCTGTGTAACGAGCATTTTGACACTGTGCAGTCGCATTGTCTGTCGGTGCAGTGGAGTGATTTGCCGATGGTTTTTGTTCTCACCTCAGTTGCTGGTCACAGGCTCAAAAGCCCGAAACGTGAAATGGCCAGCAACAATAAACGCTTTAAAAGTTGCAATGTTTAAGCATAGACGCATGTCTTAAATTGAGCAAGGTTATAAGTGCTCGGGGGAAAGAGACAATGGGAAGGGATTCCATGGTTGAGCAATGCAAGGGAAGAAGCGGAGAGAGAAGTGATTTGACTTGCAGTGTCGGGAGTGAGTTGGAGAGTCCATTGTTTTGACACGAAGCATGGTGGTTGAACACAAGTGTGGATGATGACACAAAACAGTCGGTTTAGTCGACCCGAGTCTTCGACGCAGGTGGAGGAATCCGTGAGGTTCGAGGGAACGGTAACCGTGGCGGTAGCTATGTGGCAGTGGGATTGATGTGGCTTCGCGCGCGTCGCATGCAGCGGCTGGAGGAGCAAGAGAGGAGGGCGCAGCAGCAGAAGGACAAGCTGGAGCGCGAGCACCGTTACCTGCGCCGGCGTCTGGAGCAGCTGGAGGGCAGCCCCACGGGGGTGGCGGAGCGCTTGCGCACTGATAGCCTGGGCTCCGCGCTGAGCTCCGAGCACTCCGACTCCGACAGGGGTACGACGTGGGGCTCGGCGGACTGCGCAGCCAATCGCTGTGAAGTTTATTTACATTGGAATTCACGCTGTGGATGGGCAGCTGATCACAGGACCAAAGGCCCAAAACGTCAAGTGGCCAGCAACAAGCGGCGTTGTCAAAGTTGTAAACGATAAGCGAGTGCACATTTATCCAGTTGAACAAGGTTATCGTGGGAACTCCCAAAGTCGAGCAGTGCAAGGGGATAAGCAGAAAGAGGAGAAGCGTTACGGTACTTGGCTAAATTCTTGTTCACGCTGTTTCCCCAACGTGAGTACACGCTCCGTATCGAGCGAGGGCTTGACGGCTTCCCCTCCGGCGTGGCGGCCGCATTCCTTTTCATCCCTGCAGAGGACATGGAGGTGGACGTGGAGAGTGTGGAGAGCGTGGAGTTCTCGGTGGGCGAGGGAGACAGCCTCGGCACGAGCAGCGACAGCGACGAGCGCAGCAGCCTGCAGAGCAGCAGCACCAGCGACGGCGGCTACTCCAGCTCAAGTCTCAAGCACGTGGGGACCTTCCTCTGCTAGCCGCTCACAAGCACAGCGGGGGGGGGGGGGGGGGGCACGGTCTGCGGTCGTGTTCCTCCGACTGGGAGATGACAAGTATTGGGAAGACGCTCTTACAGTGCTTTTCAGACTTTGTATGTATTTTTCTGACAATTTATACTGTACATGAAATTGTATTTTGTGAAGCACTGCAAGAGTAACTTAAGCTCTGAAGACCTTTAAAAGAGCAGTTTGTAAATAAATGTATAAACGCCTGGCCGCTGTTTTACGCACCTAAAGAATGGTTCAGACAGCACTTTTATGCCGATTTGCGGAGATGTTAACATTAATGGCAATAAACTTCCCTGATGCTGCCCATTTCAAAAGGGTCTTCAGAGTTAGTTGACCCCATCGATGCATTACGACCAATATGTTGCACTTAAAGGTCAAAGATATTTCTTTGACATTATTGACCTCAAATGTAAAAAGAAAAAAAAAATCGTACAATATTTTTTCCTAAATATGGACTGTTATATATCTGTATAGCAACAGACATTGGAAGTCCTTGGTTCCACAGGTGGACACTATTTTGGAGTCTCAGGGACTCTGTGGCTGTTTTGAGTGTTGTGCCTTTGTTTTGGTTTAACGTTGGAGTATATCTGGTTGTTGTGCAGTGCAGTAACCCTGCAAGCCAGACACGAAGGAGTTATTAATCTGTGGTTCCTCTGAAGGTTATAATGCCTGCAAAAAAACATATCAACAAAGTGGGCTAGCTGGCTGCTGGCTGTGTCACGCAGTAGCACAGAGCCACTGCCAACCGGCAGCTACCCAGGCCGCATCACCTCCAGGCGAGAGGAATCTGACAGACTCCTGATTCAGAACCTCAATGGCAGCTCCTGTCACAAGTGTTGTAGTTTTGTAAAGTGAAAGCAACAAGTTTTGACATCTTTAAAAAAATCTTACCAATCATCCTATAAGCCGCTGTTATTGTCAGTTTCTTGATTGGCACTTAATGAAGTTCTAGATTAATTGTATTTTAGTTACAAATAGTTATAGTTACAAGTAATTATCACAAGTGATTTTTACAGAGGCACAGTTTTTAAATATTTGTGACCAAATCTGTCCCCGTTAGAAAATCTGGTTTTTCATGGTGCTTTTTTGTAATCGATGATTGGTGGGTTGGTTCATTTGGATGTTGATCGAATTCCATATACTCGTTATTTTGCATCGTGAGCGTAGACGTCATGGACCAGATTGTCTAAAATGAGATTATTCAGATTCCCACCAGCATCCAGTTTTACCGCACATTCCACAAAACATCGTAAGGTAAGGCCACCCCCGCTCTGCGGGTTGCGACATCAGTGTTGTGTATATTATGCATCCCGAAACAACGGCCACTTGCTGCAGTAGCTCTTGTCTTGCTTATTTTTTGCATGCGTCGACGCGATGGTAATGTTCTTACCGCGCTTGCCAATTTCACTCCGCGCGTGCGCACGTCTGGAGCGGCGTGCGTGTCCCGCGAGTGGCCGCCGACGCAGGCTTCGCGTCAACCTGAAGCGGCGTCCGCCCGCCCGCCGCCTGCCACTTGCGGAGCAGCTGCGCCGCCACCTGCGGGCCCCGGGAGGGCGAGCGTGGGGGGCGCTTGTGGCGGGGGTGGAAGGTGTCCCGGCTCCGACCAGTGAACGTTTCCGGCTGGCGATGGAACTCGAACCGACTGGTGGTAGAGCACTGTTTTGAACGCTAGCTGTGTAAATCGTGTATATCTATGTTACCTCATGTGTTATCGTTCCCCGTTATACATAAACAAATAAATTTATTTCACTAATGTGTCGCCGAGGGTATTTCTTTATACGCGAGTTGGTGAGCCGTGCTGTCGCAGCAGCCTGCGTGGGGGACGTCGCATGAAGACTGAATAAAAGTATTTAGTGTTCTATTGCAAATTGCTAAAAAAATATTGTTACCATTTACACTGCCAAAGACCAAGTTAAATTCTGATATACGTTTCCATGACAGTTTAGAAATTACAATTCCACGTAAAAACATGTTGTTAAACTCGACACTTGTCAATACTGGCCATAAAAGGAAAAATGTGTAATTGGCGACGTTTTGGGCAATAGCCGTTAATAGCACAGTTTTGTGTGGCATCAAATAATGTTTCTCAAGTCCCGTGTCACGGTGAACACGAGGGCTGTGAGACGATAAACGGTGTTGAGCGTTTTCAAAATCGATTGCTGGGTCTCAGGAGCCGGTAACGCATTGCAGTGGCACTTGAGTAGCGGGAGGCACCGACTGGCACGCTCGGGCGCTTAAACCGCACGGGGGGGGGGTGGGCAGTGCTCGGGGTACAATGTGTGGATGGATACAAGGTACAGTCAATGACTTCGTTTCTCAGTCCACTTGTCCTGCTGAGGGTCGTGGCCCCATGACTTTGTCCAATTTTCAATATCCCTTGGACCACTGCTGTGTGCCTGGCCCTGCCACTGCTGTTTCCACAGTTGCCATGACCATGAACCCCGCGGTACTTCAAACTTAAGACTTGGCAATGTCCACAGCAAAGATAAGCTGGAGTTATCTTGATTTCGCTTTGTTGCTACCACGACGTTGTTACTGGAGGTCATTGTGCTAGTTAACAAGTCCCTGTTCGGCGACACTACCTTTAAAATATCGTAGCACATGTGGGCATATCAAATTTTAAAAGTAGTGATGTCAAATAATGTTGGGCGAAGTTAAAGACGGTTACTACTCGATCTGCATTTCAAGCGCTCACGAATGAGCTCTGGCCCGCACGCATTGCCGAGTGATCGGCTTGGAGGGCGAGCAAACCTGGCCAGGCCTCGAGTTGGTGAGGCCATGAGCGGGCTGTCGAGGAGGTGAGTGAGAGGGAGTGAAGCCAGGGTGGGTGAGCGAGGTCAGGATGGGTGAGCGAAGCCAGGATGGGTGAGCGAGGTCAGGATGGGTGAGTGAGGGGGCTGGCATGCGGCGGGTTGTGAGGGTGGCTGGGTTGTGGACAGTGCGGCGAAAATATCGTCACGAGGAAGAACGTGTGGATAAATCACGTGGCGCCAATGATAACCGGGTTTTCAGTTTGTGTGTCGAGGTAAAGAATACACCCACGGGTTGCACACCGAAAGGAAGAGGGGGCTGCGACGCGGGCACCGAGGGGTGGTTTTAAGTCGCTACCCAACAGCACTTGAACCAGGCGCCCATTGTCTCCGTGCGTGTCACGGGCCTTGATGCAGCTCCTGTCCCCATCGGCGGCCCGGTGGGGGAGTGCCACGCGAGCACACGGGTGACGTGTACGCTCCGCGGGGAACCCCCTGTTGACTTCCCTCTAAGTAGTATTCACTTTATCGACCCTGGATGTGCGATGAGTCGATGTCTGCCCAGAACCTGACCTCGCAACATTCCACCGCGAGCACCCACATCGACCGCCCTCGGTGCCCCTGTGCGAGAAGGGTGCCACTCGGCTCAACTGTTGGCTCTGGACGCGTGGTGCACATTCCACATTCCCTCGGCAAGGGCAAGTCCCTCCATACGACAACGATTGCCTTCCTACGGAGCGGCACGACCTTCACCCTGGAGAAATCACTGGATGAGTTCACCCCCAGCCAGGACTTGAGAGCACACGCACGCTCTTACAAGTGTCAGTCGACTGCCACTTGGCACAATGCACTGGACCGGCACAGAGCTGGGTTCGAATCCCAGCCCCCACATACCCGATTGAACCGGCTGCTCGGGCGTAGCGAGTTGGTGTCAGCCAGATAACGATTGTCTGCACGCAAACAACAGCAGACGATTCAGCACATTTCAGCTCTGAGGAATAAAACGCGCCTGGTCTATTGCCATGTGGAGATTTGAAGATGCGCCGCTTGCAGCGTGGAGAAGAGGCGATTGGAGGGATCTCAAAATGCCCTTGCGGCTTTATCGTTCACGTGACTTTCTCCAGCAGGGGCTGATGCACTGCTCTCGGGTGACGGAATTCTGAATGGAAGCGTCGACCATAATTGGGACATGCGTGGGGAAGCCCTGAACCTGGGTGGAGTTCGAGAGCTCAGCTCACCAGACGATGACGACCCTCGGGTCATTCTGTGTGACCCTGCTGAGATACATTCTGTACTGTACCGGTGTCTGGTTGTACAGTAACAATTTGAAAGGGGTCAAGCCGGAGAAAAAACCGAAGTGAAATGTTTGGCCGGGTAGCAAGATCAGCATTGCCCTTTACACGCCGCGCTGTGCGCTAAGTGGCTATTGGGGGCAGTAAATGTCACTCGCTCCGTATCCCCCCAGACTGCGCCAGGCTCTGGGTTCCCCGTTCGGGTCCTCACGGCGCGATTTGAGTGTCTAGGAGGAGGCGGCGCCTTGGTCGCGACGATCTTTCGGAGCTCACCGAGGACATCGAACTCTCGTGTCAAGTTGTGCCTCGTGCCCACAGACATGTGCGAGGCCACAACGACGCAGCGGAGCAGTCTCGGCTGCGATCCCCTCTCGCTGTGACCTGCACCTGCTCCCGTGCGGCCACTCACGGCGTCGGTCGTCACCACCCCCAGCAGCAGCAGGGCTCCCTGCTGAACAGCGTCCATCCACCTCGGGAGATGTGTCTGCGGGTTAGCTCAGTGGCAGAGCTGCTAACAGGCAGATCAACACAACCAATGCTATCCATAATAGAGGTGATTTGGGGTTAGATCGCGTAAACGTGTGCCGTTAAACCCGCCACCACACGGCGTGTGCTGAACTCGTACCGAGTTGTCACGTTCTGTGTCCCTGACGAACCTTACCGAGTGGCTGTGTCGGGTGGTGGCGGCTTTGACGACACACACTTACGCGATCTAACCAGCCAGCTGCTGCCACATTCTCTCAAACCCAGTTGACGGCGACCCTGGGCACAGGAGCAGCAGCGCAGTGCTCCGGGAACTGCTGCTCGTTTGGGCGGCATTGCAGCTGCCCCCCATCGACTTGTAAGCAGCTGCCCCCCATCGACTTGTGGACAATGGCCAAAGTCCTTCGCCCCCCCGCCGCCCCTGTCGGCTCACACCACGTGCTCCACGTGCTGGGCCGCGCGTTATCTGACGACGACGACGTCGACGTGGGGACTTTGAGCGCCTGAGACGACGTCGCGGGTCCAACCCGCGGGGAGGCAGCGGGAGGCGCCACGAGGTCCCCGCACGGCGGCGGCCCGCGGGCCACGTGCGCCTGGGGGGGGGGGCTCGCTCGCCAGGGGGGGGGCCTCGCTCGCCAGGGGGGGAGGGCCTCACCAGGGGGGGGGGCTCGCCAGGGGGGAGGGGGGGCTCGCTAGGGGGGGGGGGGGCTCGCCAGGGGGGGGGAGTCGCCAGGGGGGGGGCCTCGCTCGCCAGGGGGGGGGGGGCGGCGGTGTCGCTACTCGGCCGCGGGGGCCCTCGGGACTCGACGTGGATCGATCTCCCGGCGCGAGCAGAGAGCCCCCCCACCCACCACCCCCATATCCCCCACCCTCCCACCCCCCACCACCCCCCGTGGCGTCTGGCCGTGAACCGGCACCGGTTTTAGACTTGGCTGCCTCTGCTGATGATGAGACGGTAAATGTCGAAATGGATCATCCAGACTGCTCGTCGTGCTGGTATTGCACCAATTTCTGGTGATGGAGGGAAACCCCTGTGACTACCAGATATGCCTCGTGACTGAGGGATGTGTAAACACATGCCCTCGTGTGTGTGTGTGAGCGGACAGACGCAGCGTGTGACGGAGACGCTTTGCTTACCGCTCAGTTGGCTTTACCTGGTAAAATAAAATAGGTGTTTAGTTTATTCCGTGATGCACACCACGTGGACAGGGGAGGAGCGGTGGCGCAGTTGTTAACGCGCTGCTGCATGAACCCGGTGACCTCTGCGTTTCATTTCCCGACCCACGGGTAACATCAGTGGCGAATGGCGGCGGTTGTTGTTGTTGTGTCTCTGTGTGCGTCTCTGTGTGTGCGAGTTTCTGTGTGTGCGTCTCTGTGTGTGCGTGTCTGTGTGCGTCTCTGTGTGTGCGTGTGTCTCGGTGTGCGCGTCTCTGTGTGTGTCTCTGTGTGTGTGTCTCTGCGTGTATGTGTGCGGGGGAGCGGTAGTGTAGTAGTGGTCAGCGCTACGCTGCGCTACGAACCCGGCGACCCGCGTTCGATTCCAGCTCGCAGACACTGGTGACGATTATCTGAACCGGTGCTGGGCCTCCCCTAAGTCGACTCAGCCTCAAATGGGTAACTGGTGCGGTGAGTAAACATCGCCAACTGGGGAGACAAAGGCGGCCGGGTGGGCGTGGTTCTGGCCACCCACCCCCTCGTGTGCCACAATGCCGACGGCCTTCACAGGTGCTGCTACTCGCTAACAGCACTTGCCCCAACAGTCTGCTATGGCTATTGGGGGCATCTTTGTCTTGTCCCTCACGCCGTGACTCCGTGCCTGCAGTCAGGTCGACCGAGTGACCGAGTCACACTTTGTGTGCAGGAAGTCACCAGCGGTTGTCGTGTGAAGAGATTCGCCCCCGCCATAGGAATGTAGAAATTTCCACCACTGGCTCTGCAGGGCTGCAGACAGGCGCTGAGCCTCAATGTTTCGTTGAGCTGAATGTCGCCGTGGCTTTTCGAGTGGTAGATGTGCATTGAGTGTCTCCGGTTGCCGAGCTTCATGAATATTCGCCATAGATGGATTTATCAAGTGGCTGGGGGTTGTTAAAATAGGGGGGGGGGGGCAATTACCGGTAACCGCTTGAAACCCTTGTTATAGTGGTTACCGGTTTGCCGCACATAGAGCGTTCATTTCATCTCGGAGTGCGGCACTTCGGCTCAGACGCGAGAGTAAACCACAGCCACGCGGTGAGCCGGCACCAACAATTTCCCAAGCTCTGCGGTTCTCTCTCTATTATCGGGCCACTTTCGCCCATAAGACATCACGAGTGTGCCACCGCGCCTGCAAGGAGTGTGCTCGCACGTGCCGCGTGTTGTCGGGGGCCGCACGAAAGGCCACCAGGGGGCCGCCGGGGCCTTGCAACCAAGCACACAGCGGCGTGGAGCGGCCACCGAGGCGCGGGGAGTCGCCACTTGCGGGCAGACCCCGGGGGCGGTCGCCGGGAATCTGCTCGGGCCCGCGGGGGTGTGCGAGTGGACGCGGCCCTTGCGTAACGACTCCCCCCATGGCGTACACGTGCAACACATGACCGCGATGACGATCGGAAGTTACCGAGGCTCGCTCAGCAACCCCCACGACCAGCACGGCGTGTGGTGGCCTTTGTCCAGCAGTGGATGAATGTCTGTCGGTCATCCTGACGACTTGTGGTGGTGGTTGTGATTGCATTGCGATCTCGCTGCACTCAGTGGAGTGGGTCAAAGTGTCCGCCACACGCAGCCGCGTGCAGCTCCTCCTGCAGCTCCAGGCGACCCAGGCGGGTGCCAGTGGCCCCGGTCGGGCCACAGGCGGCGAGGGTTTGTCCGCCGCTCCTGGGCGCCGCTCTCCGCGTGCTGCCGTGGGCGGCGCGCAGCGGGGCGCCTCCTCCTCCTCCTTGTTGTTGTTGCTTTGAGCCGAACTCGCACCAAGAATCTGATCTCGAGATCGACTTTTGCCGATTCTAAGAATAATTCCGCATTTCCAAGAAACGCAATACAGTGGAATGGCAACCATACGGTACAGTTGTACACCCTTAAAGCAGAACTCCGCTCTGAACCTCGGCCCACAATAACCCTCGACGCAAAGACTCGGCCGCGAGTTGCAATGCAATCACGGCGGCACTTTCACAACGCATCTTGTTGGGACCGTGCTCGAACTCGAGAGCCCGATGCGAATTCCACCGACTCGCAACCAGCTCCTGGGCCGGCGTCGATATTACAGACCGGCAGCAGCCCGAGCAGCAGCAGATCCCGAATGTACGACTACCACATTTCTTTGAGGCTCAACGACTGATTGTAAGACTATCATAAGGCTACTTACCACCTTTCGAAAATGTAAAGTTGTTTTGAAAAGTGTAAAAATACTTGAGATTTTATTGATGTGGACAGGCAATATATGGATACCGTATATTTCCTGCGTACATGTTGTGTTTCTATGCAAGTTGTTTTGTTTAAGTTTTAACATCGCATGAGGCTCCATATCTTAAAGGGTCCTTGCCTATAACATCGGACAGTTCACCAACACTCATGCGACCAGAACTGCTGCTAAGACACTGCATGTCAAAACAGATCCACAGTTGCCTTGCGCTGGACCTCTGCTGATGAAATGCACTCCTAGAACGATGTGGGATGGATTGTTTAAATTCGACAGGATATATGAAGTGCACATCGTGTACTGATCTCGTTTTATTTACATTCTCCATAATGACGCTGATTATTATTGTCTTGATGTTGTGAGAGTATATGTACAGAACTCGAGGCCGTTTTGTGGCCTGTTTAAGTTGTTCATACCACTGAACATTGATACGAAAGATCAAGGACATACCTGTGAACTTTTATCAAAGTACTGCAAGTATTATAGCGCTTACATTTGAGTTAAAATAAAACACGTGGGAAGCACTAAAGCCATCATTACACCGCAATAAACACCGGGGAGCCTTCAGAATCAATCACCATCAAGACGCAACACAAGTCACGAAGTATGCGTTTATTTTATACTGCAATTAAATCAAATTGCATGGAAATGTACAAAATGTAATATACTTACTCTTTACAGTACCATTACACTGTAATTTCCCTGGAATTCATATAATTTTATTTAGAATATATACATCACTGGAATTGAACAGATTCGGTCATTTAAATACCACTTAAACAAAAAGGAAATGCGCTCATGAGGGCAAAACGCTGAATAACAAAGACGACTGCCGAGTAATAAAGTCGGTCTACACAGACGATGTGACTACAACGTAGACAAACCACCACAGAGTCAAGGTCGCTGCCCACGACTCCACCGTTGAACAGCAGAAGCAGCAGTGGCAGCAGCAGCAGCTCTATGCACGCCACGTCGAGTGGGAAAGCTTGGAGACCGAAGACAATCGTTGTGCCCTGAAGTGCGTTGGGGTTGAGCAAGACGCGGCCGGAGGGACGGCGGTCGGCCACTCACAGGAACTGCTTCGCTTTCTGCGGGGCAGCGGCCTTGCAGGCCAGGTCCTTGGCCCGTTCCGTGGCCTCCATGGCCGTGGCCTTGAGCGAGCGAGCCGGCGGGTCACCTGCCGGAGGAAGCCGGGAGCTCAACGCTGGAATTTTCGTCCGTCCAGGGAAGCGTGAGCGGGCAGGACGGGAGTGGGACAAAGGCAGAGATCGACAGATGGCGAAGAAGGAAATAAGAGAATTGCAAAAGCCATAAACAAGTTGTTTATATTAGATGAAAAGACAGCATTTATACAGATTCTGTTGTGTCCCAAGTTCAATGAGACCAGTCATGGCAATTAAACGCCACCATATGGGGATCTAAAGCTCTCTGTTATTGGTCTACCAATAACATATTTATTTATTCCAGTGTTTATCAGAGTTTCATTGTGATGATAACTCGGTATAATTACTTAACTTTAATTAACTGCTGTACCATGGTATCCAGTGTTATCTGACCACAGTATTTACATTTTAAAAGTCGATTTTGCAATCAAGAAGATTTCCCGGGCTCTCGCACCCCGCCGAGCACAAGCCATACTCTGCGGCCAATACAAGACAAGCCACCCGCCTTGAAGCCTTCGGCCAATTCAAACGCCGTTGCCTTTGCAGCACCGTGTGGAGGTGGGCAAGGGACGAGGGTGGTGGCGATCGCGTGGCTGGCACGGCGCTTCCCCGCTAGGACCATCTCCCCCTTCCGTGCGGCTGCTTCGCCGTGCTCGGCGAGCGTGACCGCGTGCTATTTTTAAATGTCGCCCACCGCTTATGTCCCTTTATAAAACATATCTGGACATCAACAATGGTAAAAGTCTTTAAGAATGTGCCGACTGCAGACGGAGGGAGCAAGGACAGACAGGGTTGAGAGAGTAATCAAGGAAGGCCGCAGGGTGTGAGAGACAAGACTTGCGGTGACATCACAGGACCCGCATTGGCTCCCCGATGAGCCCCAATGGGCACAACAAGTAACACATTTCGCACGACTCCTGTTCAGGTTATACATTTCCGAAAAGTCGACCTACAGTGTGTTTCAACGAAAATTTTAGTTGGGAAAAAAATGGGTGTTAAAATATGAATAGGTTAATATGAATTACACAGCGTGTCAAAATGGAATCCTGAAAATATTGATTGTTGAAATATGTAAAACCCCAGTTTCACTCCCCAAAACATTCTAATAAGATATCGTTCAAATAATGCAGTCATAATAATTATAATATTCTAGTTAGGCAGAAGTAGGCCCAAGAAAATATTAACTTGCAGTTGCAATGTATAAAGTTAAATATCAAGAAATGTATAACGCATTTTGTGTGATACTATTTGTACATCATGCCATGCATTTTGATTGAACATTTTCGCGCATTAACTTGTTTTTATCATTAACGAATGTATAAATAATAAAAACCTTCAATACTACATTAAATTCCCAATCTAGTAAATAATTATATAACTTATGTATCATTTAGTACAGAATCAGATCTAACCGAGGTCTTTCTGGCTGTGAGGCCACGCGAATGTTACAACAGCGCCACCCCACCGCACACTTTATAGTAAAGTAAGACACGGTTCTAAGTACCGATACGTGCTTCCCTATAGATGCACGGCGAGGCGGCAAGCCTCCGCTGTTAGCGAGGGAAGGAGGCGTCTGTGAAGTGCGTCCCCAGAGCGCCCTCTAGTGCCGTCACGTGGGAACCACTGCTCGGCAGAACTCACGTGCACGTGGGAGGAGGGAGGGTGGGTCGAGAGTGGATAACAAGAGGAATGTTCAGGGAGACATTAGTCTGTGCAACAGAGCTCCTACCTCCGTGGTAGCCCTCACGCTCTAAAGATGATAGCACAGAAACCAAATATACTAATAATTATTGTTACTCATCACAGCTCAGCGCATGGATAGGAATTTAAAACCCCGCGATGGAGGCCACGGGGCCCTCAAGCCAGAAGCGGGCGGTTGAGACGTTGGAAGGGAGCGCTACTTTTTATTTAAAGACGAAATGAAACGTGGAGACCTTCGTTTTGACAGCAGCAAGGTACAACGCTGCGCCCACCGACTTGGGTTGCCTTCCTGTGACGTGACGATTCACGAGGCGTGTGACATACCTTGCATGCTGGTCAGGATGTATTCAAAACCCTTCATTGCCTTGGAAACGTTGCTTTTGAACCTTGCGATGCCAAATTCCTGCCAGGCGACAAAGAAAAATGCAATGATTATGAAAATGAAGGATGTAGAGAACACGAACCTATAAAACAACGCTTGAGACAATGTAAACGACTATGCCCTGAGCAATAACACACATGATAAACACACGCTCTCTGCCAGAGTCGTGGTGGTCTCACACCCATACACCTGCTGGCCACTTAGCAGCATGGCGGATTGGGAGAGAAAAACTACATTTCAGGAGATCCATCAACCCTGCACGATTCTAAGAGCGGGATTATGGGGCATGCACCACCATTCCTGGACAGAAACCCCACTTTCGCTAAAAGGGCCCATTACTGGCCTCAAATCTTTTATGATAAATTGGCTTGCAGGTATATTTGACGTGTCCTTATCTAACCTGCTTCCGTTCACTACCCCTACACTGCTACCACTACCCCTATCAGTACCCCTATCACTACCACTACCACGATCACTACCCCGATCAGTACCCCTATCAGTACCCCTATCACTACCCCTATCACTACCGCTATCACTAGCCCTATCTCTATAACTACCCCTACCACTGCCCCATACCATCCTTCACCACTCTCGCCTGTCCTCCTGTCACCATAACTACACCACCACTTTTAATAACCCCACTTTATTTTAAGCATTATCATCTTACATACAATTTTATAAGTGTTGGAAATTGTCTTGGATTAAGGCGTTATATACATCTATATAAGATCTGTTTACACGTGTGCAATAATTCCCCTAAATGTATTGAAAAGTAATTAGTCCATGCAAACCTTTGTTTTACTAACATGCATTTCACGTTTCTTTGACACTCTTTTAGAAGTCTCCTGTAGTGCGGTGGATTTTGCTACGATTTCTGTTTGCGTCCATGCTGCAGGCGTCTTCATGTTCCTGCGCTTGTCGTCGTGGTGGTGACCCAGGTCCCTCTTGCAAGTGAGACCTCTCCTGGTCGCTCGAGTTCTCAAGAAACCGCGGCGAGACAAAATAACCTGGAAACTATCAAGTGGCTGTGGATGAGGCCTGACCTGTATGGGGCGGGAGAATCCATAGACGCTGGAGCAGATCCAGGCCTGCCGCTTGATCTGCGTCCAGCCCCGCTGCTCGGGGTCGATGGTGTACTCACAGCGCTCCTTCACCACCTGCAGCACAAAGACCCCCCCCGTATAGCATTCACACACTGTTGGGGCAAGTGCTGTTCACCGAGCACCGATTAAGGCTGGCACAGAAAACCAGGGATGGGTGGCCAACACCACGCCCAAACGCCTTTGTCTTTCCAATGCTGGTGTGTACACACTGCACCAGGTAACCATTTAAGGTTTAGTCAACCCAGCGGAGGCCCAGGACCGGTTAAGATAATCGGTGCTTGTGTTGGACTTAAGGTTGCCGGGTTCGTAGGGCAGCGCGCGAACCGCTACACTACCACTCCCCACACACGTACAGTTGCCAATCGTACTTTACACTGTAGTGACACAAAGACTTTCAATGAAATGTTGACTTCAAACTTTCGTGACTGCAGCAATTCATATTCTTTAGTTCTTTCGGTAAAGACACGTAGATAGAAAAAAAGTAAATCAAATAGAAACTACAACGTTTCCATCACAGCACAAGCGGTAGTCTTCAGGAGGAAAAAGGGGGGAAAGTCACTGAAGGAAACAGTTTTTAAATATTTCAAAAATGGGCGTGGGACAAGCGCCCTGTTGTCAGAACGAAGTGGGCGGGGCTTAGGTGCCTTGGGGTCAAAACGAAGTGGGCGGGGCTCAGGTGCCCTGGGGTCAGAGAGTACCGAGCTGAAGCACGGAAAGGTGACAACATACAACAAGTTACGACTTGAAGTGGTTGATGACGTCTTGCCAATGATTGCCGAGTTTGTACCCATCCTCTCGGTTGAATTGTGTCTGTATATCTGGATGGCTTAATGAACGAATCTTTGTTGATAGCCAGTGGGCTTGCAAAGTACCATCGTCTTAGAGAAATCAATTTCGTCTGAGCCCACCACATTAAAACAATGATCAGCCACGGCAACAGTATTTGTCCTACCGTGTTTCAGATCTGCCTTACGCTCACGAACACGGTTCGAGACATGTCGCTTAGTTTCCCCAATGTAACTGCTGCCCCAAATACAGCTTAGTTTGTAGACGCCGGGATATTGCATGTCAGAGATCTTGTCCTTCACAGATGGGATTAGATCATTTATTTAATGTACTGTGTTAAATCGGACCTGGATCTTGTGTTTGTTCATGATTTTGGAAATCTTTTTGGTGACCCCTGCTATGTATGGTAAGGTGATGGTTTCAATTGGATTCTCAGATGGCTCCTTCCTCACTGTTGGGGTGATGGCTTTGCGGATTGTGTAGTCAGAGTATCCATTCGCCCTGAGAGCGTGGTGCACGTGTTTTAGTCCACTGGTTAGGTGTTCATGGTCGGAGATACATCGAGCTCCATCCACCACCATCCATCCCAGAAGAATTCCCTCATCAAAACTCTACACCATAGAGCTCAATGTATCTCCGACCGTGAACAGTTACATTTAGGAAACTAAGCGACATGTCTCGGACCGTGTGTATGTACTCTCCCCGTTCTGCATGGGTTTCCTCCGGCTTCTCCGCAATGCGGACCGTATTGGGCAAACATCTTAATGCTGAAAAATTACCTGCAAATTACTCAAAAGCGATTACACACAGCAGCAACATCGCCCCTTACTGCGAAAGCTTGGCAGGTCCATCGTGAGAAAGTCTTGAGATGCAGCGAGGCTTTCGTGGATGAACCAGCCGAGTAAGAATAATAAAATAATTCTAGGGACATGGTGGGATGCAAACGCATCACAAGGTGCGGGGGGGGAGCACACCATCAGGCGCGTGTGGTTGACGTTCCTGGTGAGGGTGATGAGCCTCTGGTTGGCGGCGTCCATCACAGAGTCCTCCAGAATGTAGACGTGGCGCGGGGCGACGTGGAGCGGCAGTAGCCGCTCAGCCCACTTGGGCAGGCGGTTCGTCTTGGAGAGGAGCCGCCGCGTCAACAGCTTCTTGTCCTCCGTAACCTCCCGCCAGAGAACATCCTCCGTCAGCACGTGCTTGCTGCGAAATGCCAGGGACGTTTGGTCAACGTTGGCGAGATGTGCGAACCGCCGAGCGACAGATGTCGTTTACCACTCGTCGTGGGCTTCGCATGTGGACTCCACAATGAGCACCACTATCAAGAGCTTTGATATCCATCCGCATGCTTTATGGGGTAAAATACAGGAAAGGAACTCTGCTCTATGCAAATTCAAACGAATACATTTTGAGCTTTAACTATTAAAAAGGGAATGTTTGGTCACTACTATCCATTTTTTTTTTACAATTTTGCACACTTACAATGCTTAAATAATGTTACCAAAGTCTCAAAAAGGTATCACAGGTAAGTGTGAATACATGGGGGTCTATGGATTTTAAATCTAAATCTAGATTGAAAACTCATTTTTAACTGCTCCGATTAGCGCGGTTGGCTACGTACGGTGTGAAATAAGTTCGACATTATACAAATACTCCGCACACTGACATTGCGAAGTTGCATGCTCTGGCGAGAGGCTAGGCTTGTGGGCCATATGACAAATTCAACCCTCAAACTCATGCAGATGACGAGCAGAATGCAAAACTGCCAACACCCAGTGTTGGCAACTCCTTAAAGTGGGAAGTGGTCCAACAAACCTCAGAAAGTTTAACACGTAGACTTTCGCAAACAATATCATCCATAATACAGTTTTTTTTTTTGGGGGGGGGGGGTAGATCGCGTAAATATAAGTGTCCTTAAACCCACCACCTCCAGACACACCCAAATAGTAAGTTTTGTCACGTAAACAGAACATGCCAATTCGTCACTAGTCCGGCACACCGGTGTGTTGGAGCCAAGCCAAAACATTTACAATCAGAGTACGACGTTTCGCTAGTAATTTCAACTAGCTTCATCAGGTGGACAGCCAGATTTGTGTAGAAGTCCTCCTGTTTCATTCCTTTAATGACACATTTATATTTACGCTATCTAACCCAAAAAAAACCTGTATTATGGATTGTGGTCGAGAAAGCTTACGTGTTCAACAAACCTCAAATAGCTTATATATATGCCTTAAAAAGGAAACAAAAAATGTCACCAGACAGTTTAAAGAGTATAACACAAAGACAACCGATGCAATCTCCTTAATCCAGGACCTAACCCGTAGGGTTACACCTCGGGAATTCCAAAAACTCTCAAGACATTTGGCGACAATCGATAGATTGGTCTACGCAGCACCGGAGTGAGATCCGCAGTTAAACTTCAATCGCCACCATTCCTGCGAACGCCGTCTGAGCTGCTGTCACGCGATGTGCAAGATACACACGATGTGCACGATGTCACACGATGTGACCTGCCAGTTGTACTCCGCTGCCTTGGGTGGCCTCAGAGCCGCACGCACTCCCGCATGACGAGCTATCACATCAGATCGCCTTCAACAGCCGCCAAGGGCATTTGAGTGAAGGTGCTCTTGGCAGACAACTCAAGCCGCCGAGGGCTGCGAATCCAAATCCGGCCAGGGGCGGGCTCAGCCCCATTATCCCTCCGGGGTGGCGGAACTGCAGATTCGGGCGACGGCGGCCCTGCTCCGCACGAACTGGTCCCCACGAACTGGTCCCCGGCATAGGAACGTGGAAGTCGAACTGCCGCGTTACTGCCACCAACAGAGGCGATGCTCGTTGGATGCGAGGGACACCGGCTGAGTGCGCACTGTAGAGGATTACGCGGGGTCCCAGGCCAGGCAGCTCGGCTGTAAGCAGCTGGCAATCCCCCGAGATTATCAATTACAAGCCTGGTTTGAGGATGGGAGGTGGTGGTCCATTCAGCCGATTATCCTCCAGTTTGTGTTCGATAAAATGAGTACCGCTGCATGGGGAAGTCAACGGTGGTCAATATAGAGGGGTAACCTCGCCCCCGCCATGAGAATGTGGAATTTCCGCCACTTTCTCTTTTGAGCCGGGAATCGCGTCCGCTTGTGACAGGACGCGCGCGGCACCTGTCGGGGTTGGCACCTGTAGGGGTTGGGGTAGCGCTGCCAGAACGCGGCGAACACGTGGTCCCAGGAGCTCTTGAGGATGCCCAGGCAGGCGTAGTACTTCACCATGGCGGCCGCTGCTGCCCCTGGGGGGCTCTTGAGGCGACGTCTGCCGAGTCAGGCGGCTCCGCTCCGCATCTGCACAACCACAGGACATGGGGGGGGGGGGGGGGGGGGTCACGGGACGACCTTGGCAGGCCCCGGGTCCCCGGGGCTCGCGCGGTCCCCCGCGTCCCTCACCGCGCGGCTCCACGACCCGTCGCCTGCGCGCGGGTAACATTCACAGCAGCAGCAGCAGCAGCCTCCTCGCACTTGTCGCCATCCCTCCCTCCCTCCCTCCCTCCCCGCACGCGCGAGGAGGAGGCCGCGAGTTCGGCAGCCGCGTGCAACAGGAGCCGTGCAGGGGGTCTGGCAGCCCCCTACCGCCCCCAGCCCCCCAGTTCCCCACCATCCCCAGCCACGCCGCCCGCGAGCGGCCGGTGGCACCCCGCGGGCCGCCTGGGGCCGCCTGGGGCCTAGCGGCCAGGCCGGGGGCCGCCTCGCGAACTTTCTCATTCAACTCCCGCGCGCGTCTCCCCCTTCGTGCTCCGCTCTCTGGGCCCCGCGCCCCGCGCCCGTCGCTACCCCGAGGAGGAGGTGGAGGAGGAGGAGGTGGCGAGTCGCCGCCCGCGTCGCCCCCGACCCGTGGCGAGGCTCCTGCAGGAGGCGGCGGCCGCGCTGGACGGGAACGCGGCAGGCGAGGGAAGGCGGCGCGATCCACGATTCCCGCGCACGACTCCGCCGTCGCACGCGATTCCTCTTGCCGCGATTCCTCCCCCCTCACGCACGAGACAGCCAGACACGATCCACGATTACCGCTCCAATCGATTCGTCTGAAGAATCTCGATTCCCTACTCGATGATTCTTCCACGCGTGACGCGGCCCGGGTTGTTGAAGTCACCGGCGGGCGGACGGGAATTACCGGTACGAACCGGTTACAGGTTAATTCCGGTTACCGGTACAAACTGTACAAACCGGTTACGGGTTTGCCGCATCTGTGGAAACGTACTGCAACAAACTATACAGTTTTAGATGGGTAACTGACAAACCTTAAAACTACCAGTTCCTCGCTTTCGGTAACCGGTTAAACTGTGACCGTTTAACCGGTTACCGTTTAACAATCCGAACCCTCCACCGGAGACCAATGCGAGCTGGGTGAAGGTGGCGCCCCACTTATATATATAAATATATAATAGAATAATAAACAGTTCAAAAGTTAAATGCGTTTTATTGCTCATTTAAGTTGTTTATCAATTCGGTAAATATCAATTTAAGCGATACCTGCGCTATGAAAAAGGGCCATTGCCTGGAACGTCGCCTGGAGTGTTCACTGCCCTGAGAGAGAGAGTTCACTACCACCCGACTCCAGCTGTCTGTGGTTTCGGCCCAACCACGGATGCAAACGACAGGCACAAGAGCCCGTTGTGCTGAACGTGGATTCTCACGGAGTGCTCCAGCACTCGTGATACAACGCCTGGTGATGACAGCCCCCCCCCCCACCATCTGTGTGACCTTTCACGAAAAAGCCATCGTAATACATGCGGCTTTTCACTTAATTCAGCATATTCCGACTTGAGCATTAGAAATGTCAGTTTGATTGTCACGTGATAAACCCTCCTTTTCGGGGCATATAAAATGCGTATCCCTGCTCTCGATGGATGTGGGTATCATTAACTTCAGGAGTTCTGAAAGTCATCTTCTGAGATCATCCTCTGACAAAGTGGTCCACTGCTCGCTGTAGTTTTAAGTGTTAATGTATTAGTCTCAGTGCCATCGTTGAGGAACCGCAGACAAGATGGAGGGCAGTGCCCAGGCAGTGAGCTGGTGATACCAACAATTGGCCAAGTTCTGCGGTCCTCTATATATTGAGATGTTTTCAGCCAATGAATGAGCGTGTATATATGACGTCGATAGTGCGTTGAGCTCATGTTTTACATAAGAAAGACACTGGGAAGATAAGACATCAATCAGTTTGAGATTCCATGTTTTTATTTCAGTCACATGCAAATGTTATTAACGCAAGTATGCTCCATGTTAATTATTTATCGCAGTCTCTCTCCAGTAGGGGGTGCGGAAGAGTTTGATATTGAGCAGATGGCATCAGCTAACAGCGTACAGGACCTGTCAAGTAACAACTCACAGCGATGCGGTTAAGGTCAAGGCTATGGATCCAGTTAATTGAAACTGCTTTTATACCAGCGTGTATCTTCAGCGTGTAAATAACTAGAAACCCCCTTGTCCTCGTCCATATGGTGCAACTAGCCATGCCATTAGTGGTGGTCCGAATGGACACGGTTGAGATGCCCAATCATCTGCTGCTACCCCGCGCACAATCCTTTCGTGATGACGGAGTGGGCATCTGGCCTCTTTCAAAACTCAGTTGCCCACGATGGCATGGCAGTACGCAAGCGAACAAAGATGACCGTGAGATGAACACACGTGGGATGAGCGAGTGGCAGTCTGGGAGGAGGGACAGACAATGCAGAGACGAACAAGAGGTCGGAATTGGGCCGGGCCAAGTGCTGTATGCGAATCGAGCATCGCAGCAGTTACTTACATGAAGGACTGCGAACAGTAATGCTTAACACGGCCAACGCGTGGTGGTAGTTTTAGCCTGCGGAAATAAAGTTCACTTGTTACGAAGTTTCCTTTGCACAACCAAATGTCGCTTTGGCACCAGTCGAGGCCACGCTCCCTCACCCTATGATTCTCGCGGTTACGGTCCCCCCCCCCCCCCCATAAGAGTAGCTGAGCCTGGCAGGATGGACGCAGCGCGGTGTAAGAGCGGCTTCATCTCTCCAGCACATCACACGGCGCGTTTTGAGGTGCGTGAGTTTGTTAAAGACGTGCACGGCCATACATGACGCATTCGCCAGCGTGCCCTGCAGTGTCCAGGGCACCCCACGTGTCTCCTGACCCACGATTAATTGACCCCAAACAGGTTTTACCCTTTGCATATTCATTCATGTTTTAAGTAAACCTTACAATACTTACAAATATTACGGTTTAGAGAATTAAATGGGGGTCACAAGACATCTGGACCACGCTTTATACGACACCGGCTTCAGAATGCAGGTCACTACCCTGACGTGCTCCAGCAGGAGCCAGATGCCTTTCACAAGCCTTCGTTTTAGAACACATACGAGTCCGGTGAAGCAGTTGGTCAGAAGTGATCTTGACACGTCCGCCCCGTGCAGTGCGCATTCGCGTGTTGGATAGACATCCGGCAGCAGAGCCGTCCTGCGTAGCGAAGAGGGTGGCGGCAATAGTCACGACCTGGGGAGACCGATCGTGCTACCGGACTGGACCGAACGACCCGGGGGCGCGGTGGGGAGAGTGGCTGGCGGTGGCCACTGTGGAGGTTGTGCACTGCCAAGGGGGGCGGAGAAGGACTGCTTCGTTTACAACGGCCTCCAGTAACTCGCGTCGGCACATAGATGGGCGTGAGTCCACGTTGCTTCAGCAAAAGACAGCCGCGGCATGCCTGGACACAGCGATGCAGTCTCCGAATGTGTCGTCAAGATGACCGTTGCAGTGGCGGTTTCGCTGGTGATTATTGCCCACGCGGCGCCTACCCCAAGACCAGCCCACTGCGTGCCGGCGTCCTGGTCTAAACTTCCCAATAAAAAACAGAGTTATAAATACAGTTGCAAGTGTGACCCCCCCCCCCCTGACTGGCAGATAATGCACAGCGACAGCTTCCACTGGGGGTGCCCGAGGCTAAGCCACGTGACCAGAATTCCCCGCCATGAACAGACCACAGAGTTTGGGCGATTGTTGGTGCCAGCTGCTGGCTGCCTTTGTCTGTGGCTGCCATATCGAGCTGGTGGTGCCATGGCCCCCTCTCGCCAATGGCCACTCTGATGTTCTGGGTGCGTGAGACTTTAGGAGGGCCAGGATGTCAGGTCACCCAGTTTCTCAACACATTCGACGAGCCCATCTACCCGTGACGCCCTCTCTCAACTTGCCCCTCTCACCTTGCCCTCTGACCTTGCCCCTCTGACCTTGCCCCTCTGACCTTGCCCCTCTGACCTTGCCCTCTGACCTTGCCCTCTGACCTTGCCCCTCTGACCTTGCCCTCTGACATTGTCCCTCTGACCTTGCCGCCACCACTTCTCGTGGCGAACGACTCAGCGAGAGAAGACGGTTTGCCGCACGCTTCACGCAGCAGCCGCCATCGTCACCACCCCCGCCTCTCCATGGGAGCCTGTCCCAGGGCCACGTGTACAGCACTCGCATCCTCGCCGTGGCCTGGTCAGGCCCAGCGGTGGTGGGCAAGCCGTGCATGGCGACACACACGGGTGGACAAATCGGCAAAGTAGACGACAATGAACTTCTAGCGATTGATGGTGTGAGTACTTTATGTGCGTCATGTCCACAGTACGGTATATTACAGGTCAATTGTCGGTGAAGGTTTGTGGGTGGACGGCGTCGCCCGTTGAGATCCACGTGAATGGATCTCGGAGCTGGTGATGTGGGCCCCTGCTGGTCTCCACGTCAAGCGCTGTCTCGTCTACCGGTGCCCTGCGACTCTGCGGACACCCTCACTCACGGTCAGGTTTAGCCAGGCAGCATGCAGGGCCATTGGAAGTGCATATACAGCGTTGTACAAAGAAATCTGCTGCTAATTAAATTATATACATATGTACAAAATATAATAATTTACTCATTTCTGTGTAATGTTAAACATTGTTTTGACAACTCGCTATCTAGAACAACGAATATTCATAGTGCTTTTTAAAGGAATATAGCAGCTGCCTTGATACTTTTTTGAAAAATAAATGTTCTCCACGAGCAGCACACGACGCGCTAGACAGAGGTAGGGCAGTGCGGGGACCTGGCACGCAACGTCGAATAGAAGCCGACACAGGGCCCAGTCGCACATTGCGGGGCCCACACTCGTCTCACGAGTGCACCACGAATCCACGACACACACACACGTGTACACACACACGTGTACACACACACGTGTACACACACACGTGTACACACACACGTGTACACACACACGTGTACACACACACGTGTACACACGCACGTGTACACACGCACGTGTACACACGCACACAACGCGCACACACGTCTACACACACACACAACGCGCACACACGTCTACACACACACACAACTCTGCAGCTCCGCACGCCGTTCTTCTCGATGGACACTGCACGTGTACACACACACGTGTACACACGCACACACGTGTACACACACACACACGTGTACACACGGCGCGCAGGCAACAGGCACTGTACGCCTACGCATCGGACACGGTTCGCGGCGCACGTGAGAGGCTTCACAGGGAAACTGTTTCGCACAAAGCCACAAGGCACCGCGCACCGTGCCACGCCAAGGCGCACGCCGCGTTTAGCACCCGGTGGTGGTGGTCGTCTCACTCTGGAGAAGACCCCGGCGCGAGCCACGGCGTGTCCGCATGTGTACCACGGAGTACGAACCAAACACATCCAATCACACGATCCAAATACCATCCAAACATATCGCTTCCGTAAGTATTCCATGGTATACAAAATAAAACGTTCACCTATTTCGAGTCAAAATCTGCATTTGTTTTGATTTTAGCAACAAACAAAAACCCGTGATTCTCAGCGCCGACGCGTACACGTCCACAGCACAATGACGCTCAAATCCCATCCCTCGAATCGGTGATCCATCGATGCCGCTCGACCAGCGATGCGTCCGCCCCCCGAAACAGGCGTGCCCATTGCCTCCAGACTGGAGCTGGCACATGGGCACCACTGCTGCACCACACCGCCGTCTGGCACGGTTCCTCCCCCGTGCTTCTTTACATTCATCGTCATCGGCCACGGTCTATCCACTGCTGGATGAATAGCCTCGCCACTGTCGCCATTCCTCATGGACGCCACAATCCCTCTCACTCCATCTCATGACATTAATTTCTCATTATTAAATCCAGACTGGTTATGAGAGTCGTGTACTCTACTATATTTACGACTATTCTGTGTGTAATTCATTTGGGACGTGTAAGCTGTCGAACGCATACATGGACCTCGTTGAGTTTAATGGACCATCAGTGTGTGTCTGTGTTGCAAGTCAGAAGCAACTAACTCGCAGTATTTAACACGGGATGTTGTCCAGCACTTGGAAAGTGCAACAGAGGTGTGCGCGCAGGGACGTTGCACTGTTTAACTCCAGTTTAGGAGGCACCTCCATCTCAATGCGGCTGCACGTCGCAAGTGAAGCTCATCTGGAAAACATTTTGTTTTAAATAATCGCACTGCCCACGCATTTTCGTGCGGTGCACACGAACGCATGTAACCGCATGCGCCGATCGCCGGCAAGCGTCCTCATGAACACCGCTACCACCGTCGCCACCACCACCACTACTATAACCACCACCACCGCCACCACCACTACCACCACCGCGGTGCAGTCCCATGGCCACAGAACGCCTCGCAAGAGGCCGATTCTAACTGCACGACGCTTTTACCGGAGCAAACCCTATTGGCAGACCCTATTGGCAGGCCGGGGAGGGGGCAAGGGGTGGAGAGGAATGAAAGTGCAGATCACGCGAGTCCCGGCAACTCACACCGAGACCTACGGAGGTCAAGGAGGTGCTTTGAGCTTTGGATATCGTCGAGGTCGATTCCTCGTGTGACGGCGCCGTGTCCGATTCGCAATCAGTGTCGTCACTTTGCCTCTGACTTGGAGTGTGGCCAGACAACATCGTGGACGAGACTCTTCGGAGCCAGGTTGATGGAACGTTTCAACCGTCCCCTTAAACGGGAACCATGAGTCCACGGTAGACCACGTGCATGCACAATGCAACCAATGCCTCTTCGCCCCCGGTTCTCTCTGAAGCAGCAGCAGCGGTCAACAATGAACCGGGCAATAACGTCGCTCCACGGCCCTCGTAGACGCGCCCGGCGAGCGGGCTGTCACGCACAACGAGGGGAATGCTCCCTGTGGGCACCATCCTGTCACTTGCTGGGTTGCTCTTATCAGCAAAATTCATTCGGAGAAATCCCGATCCTGCCAACTCATAGCGACCACCAGCTCATAGCAAGGGCAACCATTTCAACGTCATCAGGGGAGACAATCGCAGCAGGGAAGCTGCTGAAGCTGAAGCAGTTTCCCTGCTGTGATTGTCTCACCTGATGACGGTCGTTTGTGTTGCGTCCGAAATGTCGTGATCGATTATTTTATTTTCTACCCACGTGACTTTACCGAAATAACCAAAGAGTATGGATTCCTGCAGTCACGAAAGCTTCAGATCAAGATTTTATCATAATTGGCGAAAATGTATGTCCCAATTGTGTTTATCCGGCATGTTTTACGTGTAAATATTAAAGAACAAAATTATATATTAAAACGCCAAACAAGCTCCGAAACGGACGCCTCCAGAGAGGAAGGCAACGCGCACGTGGCTGTGAGCGGGACTGTGATCACGTGACTGAGCACGAGACTGTGACGTCGGCACAAATTGTCACTCAGAGGCGTCGCGACGTCACCCGCGCAGCAGCGGAGAGTCTGACAGCTCCAAATGTCTGCAAGTTGTTAAAAGGCACTGCGTGTCAGTGACAATATCCGTATGCCAAGCTTCATAGCAACTCATGACGTGCACGTGAGCTGGCGACACGCACAGCTGAGTGGACAAACAAATAGCAGGCCACGTGTCCCATGGTTTGGTTTGTGTCCATTCGGTGAGCCTCGCACACGGGAACGACAAATGTGCCTTCCACCACTGCACGTCCAGTTCATCAACAGATGTCTCGATTAGCTCGTTTAAAGTCGTTGTCAACGCTACAAATGTCATCGTGCCAAAGGGAACTTGTATATGGGTCTGTGTCAGGGGGCAATGCGCCATGGTGACACACGCGAGTGGCTGTTGACGGGACACGCAGTGAGCTGCGGACTGTGCCGGGCCGTGTGTGCAGCGCGCTGGTGACAGCAACCAATACCGAGGGAGACCAATCGACGCATTCACCTCCCTGGACGTCGTTTCGCTCCGCCTTCGAGTACTCCGCGGTTTAAACGCTTAGTTTTGGATGCCAATCTCCTTTGGGGTTTGTTGTTGCGTAATTTAATGATAGTTCGGCAGCAGACCCCCCCCCCCCCACCGCGAGAGCGGGCGACGCGTGACCTCTGCCGTGTGACGCGAGACTTGTCGGTGAGACACGCCACGAGAGGTTTAAAAGATATATTTTAGTGGGAGATGTTCTCGTTCTTTGCAAAACATTTGTGTTGCAGAGACACACTGTGTGTTGCAGAGACACACTTTGTGTTGCAGAGACACACTGTCGTATCCTTGTAATGCCATGAGCCTCACCGCTTGTTCATCAAATCCAAAAGCATTGCCCCCGCCGTACAAGGACACTGGCGACCACCATTGTGAACTGAACGCGACGTTTGTGTGGCTCGTGTAACAACGTGCACCCACCGTGTATGCCAAGGAATCGCAGTGTCTCACGTGACACTTGTGTTCATCGGTTGTGTCAGGTGGAGGAGGGTTCACGACACATTTTTACACGTCGACCTCACCCCAAGAAAAACAATTACAAATCAAAAGATTGATTGTGAATCCCTACGTATATATGTGTGTGTAGATATAATCACATTCAGAGATGCCGCAATTTAGCGGCCGCGTGATTTGCGTCTCAATGTTGAAGACGTCTCCGACTCGTGGCGCCTTGGCGGCCGCAGCAGCTGCAGCAGCTGCTGCCGCTGCAGCTGCAACTGCTGCTGATTTAACTGCTGCTTTAGCTGCTGTTGCAACTGCTGCTGCAACTGCTGCTTTAGCTGCTGCTGCTTTAGCTGCAACTGCTGCTGCTGCAGGTGCTGCTGCAACTGCTGCTGCTTTAGCTGCAACTGCTGCTGATGCTTTAGCTGCAACTGCTGCTGCTGCTTTAGCTGCAACTGCTGCTGCTTTAGCTGCTGCTGCTGCTTTAGCTGCAACTGCTGCTGCTGCTTTAGCTGCAATTGCTGCTGCTGCTTTAGCTGCTGCTGCTTTAGCTGCAACTGCTGCTGCTTTAGCTGCTGCTGCTGCTTTAGCTGCAACTGCTGCTGCTGCTTTAGCTGCTGCTGCTTCTACCGCCCGGCCCCCGTCCACGCGGCTTGTGGGCAGCCGGCACGGCAGCAGTGCAGAATGGAGACGGCAGCCACAAGGGGATCGAAACACTTCCCGGGGCGTCCCCCGAAACGTCTAGCTGTTCAATAGGGCCCTACATTAGTAGTGAACTATAACCCCACCGCAGTGAGATGTATCTGCATGGTAAAAGTCAATCAAACGACTATTTTCGGGGTGGCGATCACCCGAATCTCACACCCACTTGTTTATAAAGAACAGGGGCAGAACAAATCAAATGGGTTCGTCCTTAATGGACACCTTGCGTTGACGTTACCAATGTCCACTATTTCCATGAAACCCCATTGTTATTTGTGCTGTGCATTTTCCGATGTTTATAGTTCATCCAATTCTCTCGAGGAATTGCCCTAAAATCTCATCCCCAATCAGCCACTCCGAGTGCGTGTTGCTAGCAGGGCTCGCATCGTGCTTGGGTGCAGCTCACAAGCCCTTGTTGGACTCATTGCCGATGTCACCAAGAACCTGTCCAAGGCGTCACTCGACGTTCTCAAAGAAGATGGCGGGACAATGCCACTCCTCCCGTCTGCTGTCTACTCCGATACCAGAGCGTTGTTCGGCACAATGTCCAACGTTTCACTCCACGCGCTGGCAGCTTTTTCAGCAACTTCACGACATGGAGCTCCCAGCACGTGGTGTGAAACGTCGCACAGCTTGCCGGACAATGCGCGGAACGACCCGGAGACGCACAGTGTTATTCCGTGTTATTCAGTGTTACTCAGTGCAATGTATATCCGCCCTTATTCACTTCCCTTCGAGTGAGCAAGGAGTGAATGTCTTGCACCCCTCCCTTAGAGATTGAAACGCGTTCACTTGATATTCACTTCTGGCCAACATGCACTCAGAAGGCTACATTGAAGTTGGCCACTATAAACTTACAACTTAGTGCACGATGTGTGTGTGAGAGTGGTCATTTGAAGCCGTATTGAGAAGGGATGTATCGCAATAACGAAGTTATAAAACACTCCGATGGTCGCAGACACATTAGTTGGAGCGGCGAGCACTTCAGTAGTAAATGCAAACGCGTGATATTTTCCTTCTTTGTTTTACACTTGTGCTACGGCATGACCTCCAGTCTCGTTAAAGTTCACCGACGTTACATACGCGCGTCATATCGTTGCACAATATCAACATTGATAGCAGCAGTGCAACTAGGGCTTACATCGCTTCTCCGCTGTCGCTTAACGTCAGTGCATGCAACAGTCGTGTTGGCGTTATAGGGATGCATTTGTGGCGCATGCCGTGACGTCACTGACGGTGTCACGTGGTTGGATGTCAGCGCAGTGCAAAACACTCACCGAGGGTAACGCATTCGCAAGCGGCATGCTTTGGTCGGGGCGTCTTAACAAACGCTTTTGGCAATACTTGCATAGCAACATTTATTATCGATCATTAGCTCCATGCGCCAGGCAGTACCTTAACGGTTTTGTTAAATCTACGGTTTTACTAAAAAATACGACTTCATTCAATACAGTTCATAATTGGTTTCACTAATTATTTCAATGCGGATAACGTGGAAAACCACTTCGTTTGTTGTAAATGTTGAGGTTCCTTCTGCCAGTGACACAATGATCGTGTGTGACGTCGCAATGATCATGTGTGACGTCACAATGATCGTGTGTGACATCACAATGATCGTGTGACATCACAATGATCGTGTGTGACATCACAATGATCGTGTGTGACATCACAATGATCGTGTGTGACATCACAATGATTGTGTGACATCACAATGATCGTGTGTGACATCACAATTATCGTGTGACATCACAATGATCGTGTGTGACGTCACAGTGGTGGTTTGTGACGTCTGTGATGGTGTTGTACAGATACAGACATTCGCCTACTCTCCAATTGGCCTGCCAACAAATGTGCTCCTCCACTATCGCGAAGTTGTAAAGTTGATATAATTGAGATGTGAATACTGCGGAGTGGTGTGTAAAGATGTGAGTGTAATTCGTCTGAGTTGAGAATACGTTATACAAGGGTATTTTCAAACGTTTTAAAATAGTGTAATTATATCAGGAAAGCTAATTATATGGCTTTCTACGAGAATACATTTGTTCTGAGACGTTTAGAACGTTTCCTCAAAGCGTCTCCCCAATGCCTCGTGTATGGCCTCAGGCACACGGCGCAGGCCGCCACTCACAGTGGCTCATTGCAAGAATGAAGTCTCGAGCACCCCGACCATGGAACATGAGACGATTCGCTGCCGTACTCCGACAATACAATGAGGGGATGATGATGATAATAATACAATGAGATTACTCACAGGTACAGCAAGGCATCAAATCGCTACTACCAGCCGCCCGTGTCTATTAAACCCTCCTGGACCCATTCCTCGACGCTTGGGCAACAGGAGAAGGCACCGACAAGCCGGCGGTGATGTTCACGTGGTGCTCAGCCTGCGACATCCCGAACGAGACACCCGACTGAGGATCCAACAGAGGTGCCGCGTGGCTTCTCCGCGTCGCAGGGACCCGGGGCTGCGGCGAGCCGCGTTAGGGACGGCCACGTGGCCTGCAAGATGGAAATCGAGGGGTCGCAGAATTGCGTCTGCTGTGAAGTGCAAAGCCATCACTCACCTCGCGCTGTGGTGAGTGGGTGTGGGTCTCTATGTGGGTCTACGGGTATCTGTGTGGGTCGATGGGTCTCTATGGGTATCGTTGTCTACGCGAGTCTTTGTAGATATATAGGCTTCTACAGGAGTCTAATTATCACTACGGTAATTGTATAGGATGGATCTCCATGTGGATCTATGGGTTTCTATGTGGGACTATAGGTTTCTTTGGGTCTCTGTGCGAGTCTTAATTGTGACTGCAGTGAAGTGTGATCCATCGTTAGCGTCCCCGCTGATTGCCCCACACGCGCCGTATTGCAGGACCCACGTCCACAGTCAACACGCACAGCTGTACACGAAGCTGGAGCTTTGCACGTTCTACACGAAAGAAGAAACAAGTCAACGAAATGTACCAGATGTGCGCTGCCACGAGACAAAGTCTCCCCCTGCCACCTTCACAGGCTGCTGGGGCAAGTGCTGTGAGCGAGCAGCGCCTATGAAGGCCGGCACGGCACACGAGGGGGTGAGTGGCCTCACGACGCCTCTGTCTCACCGGTGCTGATGCTTGCACATGGCACCTGGTACTAAATTAAGGTTGAGTAGACCCAGGAGTGGCCCAGGACCGGTTCACGTATCCGTCACTGTTATTGTTCGTGAGCGGGAACCGAACTCGGGTGGCCGGGTTCGTAGCCAGGGGCGCTAACCACAGCGCCACTACTCTCTATTCTGTCACTATAGTGTTACACGGCTAATAGAGTTAATGCCAAAGTCTACTTATTCATAACTTTACCATTCACAGTTTTGTCTTCAACCTAACTTTACTTAACATGCATTTAAAATGCATTTAGAGGTAATTTATTTCATATTTTTATTGGGAAGCTCAGAGCTTTGCGCTCGTGACGAAGGAGCTCTCTCTCTCTGTGCAGGCGGCGCTGTGCAGTGCGGGGCCTCGTTCACACGCGTGATGAGATCATGCCAATTTGTGCTTTGAACATGTCTCGTCATTTTTGTTATTCATCTTTCACCAGTTATGTCACAATTAAGCCTTTGCCTTTTCGCACAGAGAGATATAATCATAATACTGAAGTGGAATTTGTGTTGAGCGGCGTTGTCCGTGCAAGTTGCATCTCAAAGCGCGTGTTTGTGCAGAGCGTCGCGAGCGCGCGCAGTCGTGTTGTGTTGCTCTGCTGGGAGGCGCCGGGGAAACTGCAGGGGCGGCACGGCGGCACGGCGGCCAGAACCGACACTGCCAACAATTGCCCAAGCTCTGTGGTCCCACACTGAGATGTTTGGCCAACTCCATTCAGGAATGTGCTTACACATTAAGTATGGACACATTTTGTCCCCCCCCCCCCCTTGCATTATAAGCAACGCGACTCAACTGAACGATAACCCGAATTCAAGAGCAGTTCCTGACCAAGGGCCCCAACCGCGTCCAGCCGTGCGGCAGAGGCCGCGGCCGCTCCGCCCCTCCGGGTCGCGCCGCGGAGTCCGCCCGTGCCCCCCCCCCCCCCCGTGCTGCCAGCGCGCCACTCACGTCGAGTGGAGACGACCCCGAGCCGGGCCGCCTCGCTCCGTCACGCACGAAGAGAGGCGGCCCGCCTCCCTTACATCGTCGACTGTTACATTCAGACGGAACAAAATAACTGAATAGGCTTTAGCGCAACTAAGCCAACACGGGGAGACGTCAACCCGGGTCAACTTGAACAGAGAAGCCCGCCGGCTCTTCTCCAGCCGACTTCCATGCGACAACTCACAAATTCGCATTCACGAAAGTGCCCGAAGCTCGTCAATGCGCCCTGCTTACACGCCGATTGCCGGGTACATTCAACATCACAACTGCGATTTCCGTCGAGCTCAAGGTAGCAGAGCTACTCTTCGTTGAGTGTATGCAGCCAAGAACCACGTGGAGAGGGAGGCATCGTCGAGGCACATGAGGAGGTTCCGATACCCACACCGCGGGATCGTGATCCGGCCGCGACGCGACGTTGTGCTGTGCCCGCCGGGCGCGGTGGCAGCGTGCGGGGCCCTCTGCGTCGTCAACGCGTCCACACGCAGCACTGCGCCCCGGCCCCTCGTCTGTCTCGCTCACGTTGCTTGCATAAGGCCTTCCGGGTACTGTACTCGTTTCAAACTGAAGTCACTTTAAACACAAAACGTAACAACTCAGCACACACACACCGTGACGTACAAACAGGCATTATTGCATCATCGTGGGGGGTGATTCGTTTGGTTCGGAGTGGGCTGCTCGCAGGCGATTTTGATCTTTCGTGCCAAGTCTCCGTGAAGGTGGCAGGGGGCTGCCACCCCGCGCGCGCGCCGCGGGGCGTGTCGTGCTTGGGGCCACCGGCGGCCCCCGCGCCCCGCTCAGCGTCCCCGAGGGCCAGGGAGCCGCAGCGGCGGCCGTGGCCGCGTGGGCCCCGTGCAGACCGCTCGTGCAACGTCGATTGGGAACGACGGCGACGGCGACAGCAGCAGCAGTGGGACGTGAGTTGGAGCAATGCCTCGTTATTAAATCAGACGTTGCAATTGGCAGTCAAGGGCTGACGTGTAGCTCCCTAGGTATGAATTACGCAGGCAAGTCGAGCATCCCCTTGCATTACAGATGAACTTTTCAAATTCATCTCGAACCAAACATTTGTTTTGTTATAATCAAGAATATAATATTTGGCTTAGTTACTTTAAGTATGTACAATAAACATGCTTTTTACCTTTTCATGTACGCATTCAAATTCAAATCAGATATAATCTTGGAGCAAGCGTTTAGTAACTGCGCAAGCAAAGGTCAAATTTGTGTCTGGGTATTCGTTGTTTTAAGGACACGTTTCCCTCCTGCGGGGGGGTCGCATGCAAGAGTCCTCCCGTCGCCGCACCGCCCACACTCCTCCACCCCGTGGAAGCGCGCAGCAGCAGCAACGCCGCCACCGCCACAGGCGAGGCGCAGGCTGCAGGGCAACGCCGTGCACGACGTGGCTGTGGGTGGCCACCGCAGGGAGACACCGCCCAGCCGAGCTCACTCCTCGCGGATTTGAAGGCGGTAGCGATGGTAGCGCAGCTGGAAGAACAGGCGCTGGGGAAGCGAGAAGTCCATACCGGGCAGCACGTAACCTTCAGTGACGCCCATGTGTTTGAAGCCCAGCGACTGGTAGAGACGGTGGGCGTCGATCTTCACCGCGGTCGTGCTCAGCACCACCGCGGTGCTTCCGTTGGCCAGCGCGAAGTCGATGACCGTGCGGCCCAGCGCCTTGGCGATGCCGCGGCCGCGGTGGCGCGAGTCCACCGACATGCGGCACAGCTCCACGGTGGCGTCCTCCGGGTGGGCGCGGGCCCCCACGATGCCCACCACGTCGCCGCCCAGCACCGCCACCCAGAAGCAGCAGCCTGCCAAAGGCACCGCGGGGAACTCGTGCGCTCTGCCCGACGCGTCGCGTGCAGCGCCCATCGCCTGCTGGGGCGCACTCTCTCTCTGTCTCTCTCTGTCACTCTCTGTCTCTCTGTCTCTCTCTCTGTGTCTCTCTGTCACTCTCTGTCTCTCTGTCTCTCTCTGTGTCTCTCTCTCTCTCTGTCTGTCTCTGTCTGTCTGGCATCGCCACAGCAGCAGCAGCCTGCCAAAGGCACCGCGGGGGACTCGTGCGCTCTGCCCGACGGGTCGCGTGCAGCGCCCATCGCCTGCTGGGGCGCACTCTCTCTCTGTCTCTCTCTGTCACTCTCTGTCTCTCTGTCTCTCTCTCTGTGTCTCTCTGTCACTCTCTGTCTCTCTGTCTCTCTCTGTGTCTCTCTCTCTCTGTGTGTCTGTCTCTGTCTGTCTGGCATCGCCACAGCAGCAGCAGCCTGCCAAAGGCACCGCGGGGGACTCGTGCGCTCTGCCCGACGGGTCGCGTGCAGCGCCCATCGCCTGCTGGGGCGCACTCTCTCTCTGTCTCTCTCTCTGTCACTCTCTGTCTCTCTCTGTCTCTCTCTCTCTCTCTGTGTCTCTCTCTCTGTCTATGTCTGTCTGGCATCGCCACAGCAGCAGCTTCTTCTTCTTCTACTGCGGGGAAAGTGGGAGACGTGGGCCTCGTGCAAAGCCATCGAGGAGACTTTCTGGCTGATTGTAAACAAACGGGGCGCGTACACTCAGGCTGGGATATCGCCACAATTCTCACCTCGTTGCTGGCGGTTAGCGCGCATCACACCCCGGGGTGTGCCTGGGTAGTTGGCTGACTTGGCTCACCCTCTGCTATAGACATCTAGAGCTGTAGAGGCCAGCGAGGGGAGAGGGAGCTATGACTGTGTACGCATCTACAGATGCTGCTGCTGATACTCTTCAAATTTATATATAAAGTTTTCAAAACATCCCCCGTCTTGGAGTTCACATAACGGCGCTCGAAAGAGCCACGCGCGGGTGATGTGTGGGTGGTGATGTTGTTGGTTTGCCGTGAGAAGAATCGCTCTGAGCGCGCGTGTTGGTTGTGGGTACGCAGCGTACCTGGAGTCTTGATGTAGTGGTGCGGGATGTCGGACAAGTCGTTGCAGAGGGCGTTGCTGGCATAGCGCAAGATCACCTGGCGGCTGTAGTAATAGCGCAGGGCCAGCAGCAGCAGGGGCACACAGCACGTGATCAGCAACGAGTGTGTTAGGCCCAAGCAAAAAACTGGTGAGAGAAGGGAAACACATAATCGAGACCTAACAGAAAAGATACACAACACACAGGCTGTTAGAACACTGCCACCTTCAGAGTTGCATTTGTGTCCCAGCAAAAGCCACTCCCTGCTCACTGCGTGCGTCTCTCGACATCGCACGATGTGCACGCGGCTCGCTGCTCACGTCGATCCACTGTTGGATGAGAGCCGCGCCACGCGGCTTGTGTCATGGGGTTATTTGACCAGAGTGCACCGCGCTGGTCAATGCGTGGTGACGAATACTCTACCCCTGTTTCAATGTTTATTTCATACACGGAAAGTCCCGTGTAGCCAGCTACTCAGCTAGCTTTCCATGGAGAACCGCGTGGTGCAGCAGCACAGAACAAGAACAACAACATCAAAGTAATCCGTACCGAGGAACAGGTAACATCGCGGAGGTACAGGCACAATCAATGCATAAAGAATAGAGAAATATATTAACAATGCGTTAAAACTAATAACTAAAATTAACGATACAAACATGCACATTGCACCAAAACAAGGACGAGGTGATGCACGGTGGGAGAGGAGGTGAGCGAGAGGCGAAGCCACCAAGTGAATAAAACAACAACAACAACCATCACCACCACGGGATCGCGGGCAGTCACGGCTGCAGCAGCAGCAGGCGGTGTTGGGTGCAAGGGCAGTCGTCGCCCTGAGCCCTCTGGGATCGGGGTGATCGGGAAGGGTGCAGGGAGGGATCCGTGCCCGACGTGAGAGGCGAGGGCTGACGGCGTGCTAAGTAAGACCGGGGAGGGGCCACTTCTGGGGTTGCGGCTGGGAATTCGTGGAGTTTGGAAGTATTTCAGATACTCGGTGCATTTGTTTTAAAATTCTATGAGGATGAAGGCAGCAGCCCTGTGGTTGATCGCTTCACGTCTCCAGGGGACACCGTTTGGAGGCGACACAGAGACTACGATGACCTGGCTCTACAGGGGGCGCCAAGGGCAAAGCGCAGTGCCGAGTGGCGTTGCCGAACGAGGCGCTGTCGAGTGGGACTGGAGGCGATGTGGTAGATATCGCATTCCATATTAATATGGAGCTGAGGTGGGACACTGTTTATTTCTGTAGAGGAGTCCACTAGTGGGGTTTTTTTTTAATCTTGTATGATTAATGTAGGCCTTGAAGGACAGGGTTTGTGTCCAAGATAACATCTCGATACGTAAAGTTATCGATCTCTTCAAAGGGATGCGAATGCAGAGACGCAGTGCGCAGGGAGAGCAACACTCGGTTTGGAGTCACCAGTGAACAACCCCCGACTCTCGCCTCCTGAGCATTGAGGACGCACATCGAGGCATTAGGCTGCAGTTGTCGATGATCAAGGGCATGGGGCAGCCGACGTTGTAAATCGCCCCCTGACTTCTCAGAGACCATCAGGGTTGTGCCATCGGCAGGGAGATGAATGTCAGAGTGTGAGGCTGAGACACCCGGATTGTCCACGTACAGGAGGAGCAGCATCGGGCCAAGCAGGGGCGTTGCGGAGTCCCCTTAGTATCGAGCACCACAGAGGTCGTGCTGGATTCTCATCCAGGCCATATTGCTGGAGGAGGGAATCGGTCATTGCTCGAAATGAAGTTGGTGATTTGCAATTTAAAACTCCTCTCAACTATCTGATGAGAGCAGAGAGGAGTGGGGTGAGGTGGGAGTTATTCTGGTCCTCCACGGCACCATCTTTACGCAGCGGGCGTACAAAAGCTGTTTTCCATTCAAGAGGGATGGATGCCTCCTAAGAATGGAAAGGTTCGGTATACGGGCTAGGAGTTAGATATACGGGCTAGGAGTTCGATATATGGGCTAGGAGTAAGATATACGGGCTAGGAGTTCGGTATACGGGCTAGGAGTTCGGTATGCGGTCCAGGGGTTTTGCGTGGGGGTTGCCACAAGGTGGAGGGGGGGGGGCAAAGGCGGGCGGCCATCAGCACCACCGTCCGCAGCAGAGGGAGTGGATGATGGAGCAGAGAGAGTGGATGATGGAGCATAGGGAGTGGAGGATGAACCACATTTGTTCAGCGTCTGTGCATGGCCCGCACAGACATTCATTCTGTTCACCTCACTGTCAACAGCAAACGTGAAAAGGCAATTTTAACTCAAATCGCACAGCGGTGCAAGACACGAAGAATGAACCACACCCGCATCGACACAGACCGACGTGATTTACGCGTAGACAAATTATTCTAAGAAATACCTTTGCCTGATTGCTGCTTGATGTTAAATATCTCTCCACAAATGTTCCGCACGAGACATCCCGAGTCATTGCCAATGCCACATCAGTTCCTGTGAAAATAGGCTTCACTGTTTCTGGGCACGGCAGTGCTGATTCTAGAGGTGGCTATTTGAGCGAGGGAGGTCACTATTTGTATTATCAGTGGCCGACACTGCTCCCCGTGAGTGCCCTGCCCCACCAAGCGACGACTCGCGCAGTCTCGGAGTCGGAGCGAGGTCGTGGTCCCAGCCACCAGCGGCGCTGGGGTTACAGAGCGTGCATCGCCTTCCGGTGAGGCTGTGCCAACATGAATAGTGCACACGTCTCCACAATTCCCATCAGCCAGGACTGTGTCTCAGGTCGTATTTCACGAATCGTACGTGACGAAGTGCGGCACACTCCTGGGCTCCGGCTGGCATCGATTCCGCGTCTGCTGCCACACTGCTGCACTGCGCTAGTCGGGCAGCAGCCGCCTCGCCGCGGGCAGCAGCGGGGAGTAGCGGGCAGGGCGCTCAGATCGGTGGCGAGGCGTCTCTCTGGAGTCGTGTCCGCGTACAGAGGCTTGCGCATAAAAAATCACGTGGTGTATTTAAAGGACATCGAATGATATGAATACGTATTTCTATCAATACATATACTCATTGGATAGAGGTCTGTGTGTAGTGTGTACGTGTGTATGTATACGTGTGTATGTACGTACATGCTGTGCCGGCTTCATCACAAACAGTACTTGTTCGCAAAGTCTGTGCAGCAGGATAAGAGACGACTGCGGATTGCATAACGCAGACCATGATTCGTATAATGCGTGAGTGGTGCTCTGCGTTCAGCGTATCTGTACATACACGCGTGACTACCATGAATGTGTGCATGTTTTACGAATCGTATAATGAATGCATTTCTGGAAGTACAAATACTGTGCATCTCTCTGTAGTAAATGTGCATTATGGGGAGCGGTGGCGCAGTGGTTAGCGCCACGAAGCAGGCCACCCAAGTTAGAGTCCCGCTCACGGCTACCAACACCAGTAACAATTATCTGAACGAGTCTTCGGCGTCCCCTAGGTCGACTCGGCCCTAAATAAGTACCTGCTACGGTGTGTAGTAAACGTCACCACTGGGGGAGACAAAAGCGGTCGGGCGTGGTGCTGGCCACCCTCGTGTGCCGTGCCGGTCTTCATCGAGGTGCTACTCGCTAACGGCACTCGCCCCAACAGTCCGCACTCGCGTTCTCAATCTGCACCCGCGTGGCTGTGCGTGCGTGCGTGCCTCCCGCGCGCCTTACTCGTGATGGTCGCGTACACGAGCTGGATGCCGCGCTGCTCCCGCAGTCCGCGCAGCGCCGTGTTGGGGATCCGCTCCTGGATGCCTTCGCTGAAGATCCGCCGCACCGTCGCCTCGTCCCCGGCGCGGAACTCCCTGATGTGCGCCTCGCGGTGCCGCGCCTCGTCCGAGCCCGCCCGCTGCCACGGCCCGGCTGGCCGCATGCCGCCCTTCTCATCGTCCCCCTCGTCTGCGATCAGCCGCGAGTCGCAGCCCGTGCTTGAAGCGGGACGAGGCATTCACGGCGCGGCAGCGAACCGTCGCGCGGCGGGAGCGGCGTCACGGGCGCACACTGCGGTATCGGCGACGCTCCGGTGACGCGGTCATTTATCGGAGCGCCGCTGCTGCTGCTGCTGCGCTTGCTGTTGCTGATGCTGATGCAGCAGTAGCAGCAGGGGCAGGGCTGGGGGAGGGGCGTCCCGTGCCGAACGCTCGGTGCAGCAGCGAGCCGTGCTCGTGGGGAGCCTAGAGAAAAGCGTAATGCAGCAGCAGCATCAGCAGGGACGCACGCAGCGCGCTCTGCAGCTCAAGGCGGATGAGACACGTGGAGGCGGAGCACGGATTGGCAGTCTCTCACTCCGTGCTGCTGCAGCTGCTGCTGCTGCAGTAGCTGTTGCTGCTGCTGCTGCAGGACACCACTGCGGAGCCTGTATCAGCACCTGCCGTGACACCACGAACTGCACATCGGCATCTTACAGATACTGCGGATTAAAGTGAATCTTGAACTGAGATGCGAAGTGCACATACAGAGGCTGCATGTAGCATACATCGTGCTCTCAGCGCACAGAGCTGGCATTGCGCATGTGAACGCACTATTATAGGGCGATGTTACATTCGTTGTATTGGATCGTACTATTTCATTGTGATCAAGGTAATAATAGTTTTTATTTTGAAATTAGCGTTCGATACACTTTATACACGCAGTCGTCAAATACTGCTTAATGCCCACGATGGTTGGTCCTTTTAAGGCAGAGTAATCGACGAATGTTTGTGTGTTGAACTTCTTTCGCACCGTACGTAGCCAACCGTGCTAATCGGAGGTTGCCGGGGGAGAACAACAAACTAAGACTGTTTGGAGTTCAATGTTTTGTCAGTCGCTTTCCCAATTCCGCACGAGATCTAGCGAACGAGAGATAGATGAGGCCACGCTTAGAGAAACGCTGAATCACCGGTACACTCCTGAACTCGATAACTGCTGACCTGGCACAAGGAGGCGTGCCACCATCACGACTCGTGCTCACGATTGATGTGGATGGGCCAGAGGAGAGCGGCTGCGGCGACGCTGGAGGAACTGCGCGCTCTCCGCTTTACAGATTCAGAATATTTATTTACGTCGGAGAAATCCGATGAGCTATGAAGCTCTTTTCCCACAGACGTCCACGGAGGAAGAATGCGCACGGCAAGAGAGCGAACACGCTGTGAGAAAAGCCGCAGGCTGGGAGGGGGGCAGGAGGGGGGCAAGGGGAGCTACTGCCCCCCCCCCTTCCCCCACCCCCCAGGGGGGGCAGCAGCCCCCGCGTGTCCCCCCAGTACGCCGCGTTCTTCATTCGCGGCGGGGGGCGGTGGGGATGCGGGGTCGCTAGGCAACGCGATGACATCACACACGTGTCTGTCACAGACGATTATGGATGCTGCATTATATTTATAGTGTTGTAATAGTGTACGCTCGTAATGGCATATCATTTGAATAAATAATGCCGTACTCGTTCGGAATGATTAATGCTATTATTATGATCTTTTATTTCGTAAGGGAAGTATTTGCGTGTTCTCCATTGTGTCGTCTTGGGTTGTTCCACGGCGTCACGCTTGACATTGAGCAGGCCTCGTCCCAGCAGCAGCCTGGCATCCTCGGATTGACCCCGGGGGTGGCAGTGTCCTTGCCGGGCAACTGGGCAGCAACTAATCACTCCCTCTGAACAAACACCCAGCTACTTTGTGCCTGTTTAACGATGCAAATGTTAACATTGATGCATATTGTTACTATTATACTTGTTTACCCAACCAAGACGCTATTGAGTCTCAAGATTGTTTTTCAAGAGGGTCCTGCCAAGTTTCCACAGGAGGGCACCAAGTGCACGTGTCATCCCAGTAGAGTCGTTTGCGGGTAATTGTTCTTCAGCATTGCGATGTTGGACACGTACCCGTTTCAGTGCGTGTGCGAGGAAACGGGATAACTCGGAGTGAACCCATGGAGAGCGGGGGGAGAGAGACACCCAAACTCCATCCCAGACGCTTCTTGTTGTGAGTCAAGACTATTCACTACCGCCGCTCTGCCACCCATTGACGACACGATGGTACTGCACAGGCGTGTCCCGCTTAACGAGCGAGATACGTTCCGTGAAAATTGCTCGGTAAGCGAAAACTCGTTAAACGATCAACGTTTTAAATCTTGATTTGAGCAACGTTTACCCATTGACTACTACTATGTTAAAAGCTGAGATAAGCTTCAGCCAGAAATGTTCCACTTTTGAACAACTTTTTTTCACGTGAGAAATACAAATTACTGGATAAGTTGAAACTAAAGTAATACATCAAATGTAACATTCACCGTGTAGCCTCAACAGACTGTTGGGGCAAGTGCTATTAGCGAGTAGCACCGGTGAAGCAGGGGCTGTTACTAAAAGTAAAGAGAATAATAAAATTTAGATTTTTCCACTGATCTGTGTTATAAATGTCCTTTTTGTACGATTCCAATCATTGTTATAGTCAAAATCGCCAAATTTGCAGAGCTCCGCTGCAAATACAGGAAGAGACGAGAGGTGAGGCAGCGACGAGCTCAGCCTCCCCCTGATTGCGCAACGCCTCAGTAACTGGATGGAGCGCGGGCAATAAGCGCGTGCCTGTTACTATCTCAGTATGTCACCAATGTGATGTTTGTAGACCCCTTCATTTCATGTCCTCGCCTTCCATACTCCATGTAACTTATTTCACGTGTGTGTATAAAGATATTTAGGCTCGCTGGTCTCGTCATGAAACTGCAATGAAAAAGCACCAGGGGAGGCAGCTATCACATCTGCCTCACTGAGAGGGACGTGTCTAACACGCCCCTCTCAGTGAGGACACGCCCCCTCAGTGAGACCACGCCCCCTCCGTGTGGCTCTGACACGAGCCTCCCAGCCATTGACCTCGCCGCACGCCGCTGCCGGCCACGTGGTGGGGAGACGCCGACGCGCGCTGTGACGCGCAGCCTGGACACGCCTCGGTGACCCCCCCCCACCCCCCTCGTGCTCTCCCCTCCCGTCGCCGTGGAGACCGCTCTCCCCCCCCGCCTCGTGTTCTCCCCCCCCCCCCTCGTGCTCTCCCCCCCCCTCGTGCTCTCCCGTCGCCGTGGAGACCGCTCTCTCTCTCTCGACGCTTCGCTCGCCCCACGTCTCTCGGACAGTCCTCGTCCTCCGCTCCCCACGCCTGTCAGCCGTCGCCCCCACCCCTCGCTTCCCGCCTTCTGGGTTTGAATCTCGCCTCCAATCGGTTTGAAGCTTCGCCTCACGGCCAGTCGCTGTGCACCAATCGGAAGGCCTTGGCCGACTTGCCGACTGCCCGGACCATGTGTGGCCTCTGGCAGTCCACGCGCAAGGAGGAGGAGGAGGTAGGTGGTTGCTGTGATGCACATCTTGACACCGACGACGCCTTCAAACTGAAGCCCAAGCGTCACATCTTGACGCCGTCCCCCATTCACTCACTCAGCCTCCCTGCCTGTCTCTCTCCCTGCCGGGCTCCCTGCCGGGCTCCGGCAGGAGGGTCATCGCTCAGCTTCGCAGTCGGGGCGACGGTGGCAATGCCCAATCCCAGTGGAGCAACTCCACGCGAATATTCAGAGTAAATACAATCATTAGATGAGACACGGACTGACGTTGCCTTTACTGTCACCCACAATGTGATTATATCTCTGTGCAGATGTGCATGCCTGGACGAGCTGGAATAGTTTATAATCTGATGTGTAGACCAGAGTGGTGAATACATGAGTGGGAACACAATCGCATGGCTCTATATTTTTAAACAAGACGCATGTTTTACATACAATGGAGAACATCTTGCATTTTGTTTATCATTCAGATATTATTTGCATTTTAGAAAACATAGATCGGAAGCATAAATATATAAACTGAGCTCAAAAGGTATAAAACATTTGTGAAAACACGTGGACCATCTATGAATATTAAGTGGCTATCGTTGCGTTACTTTGGTCCTTGTATCACCATTTTAACGAATAATCGTGCTCCTATAAGTGCATCAATTTAAATTAATACGTCTATTTTTGTTTATTTGCCAATTCAGTTAACCACATTGTTGTGTTAGACCACGTGGTAGTTTTATGCAAAACTTCCTGCCATTGACCCCTCCACCACCCGACAGGATTGTTACGTTTAAAGACAAATTATATATCTATTATTGATCGGTGCCAATGTATTGACCAAATTGTGATCGATAACACTCCTCACTCGTGGTGGCTGCAATACTTTCATGACGCGTTCATCATGTTGTGCTTCAGTCATGAAACGTCTAGAGCAAACATTTAATATGTTTGATTACTGAAGGTGTTTGTCACTCGATCATTGATGTACCAATGTGTACCAATGTTTACACAACTGGTCATCAGAAAACATTTGTTAAATGCAATTCTCGTCAGGCCCCGCAGTGTAAACTAGCGCTGTATCCGCCCTCTCTGGTGTGCTGTGACGAAGGGCCATTACCCGAAACGTCGCCGACTACGGGTAGAACACTAAACGTGTTGTTGTTGTTGTTAGAAGGCGCAGCGTGGCTCGCGCTGCGGTGTGAAGCGCGGTGACGTCCATGGGGGGGCGTGACGTCAGCGCCGCCCCGTGACGTCTGCGCCGCCTCCCGTCACGGACGTGACGTCACGGGGCGGCGCTGACGTCACCACCGCCCGGGCGCCGCTCTGCTGCTGCTGCCCGCTCGGTGCTCGGCGAGCGCCTCTCTCCGTCTCATCTCCTCGCCTCTCCCACCACCACCACCGCCATCATCTCCCTCCTCCTCCCCCACCGCAGCCACTCTCGGCGTTGTCGCTCCTCCGTGTTCCCGCGCCGCTCTTTCCCGCCGCTGATGTCGGCGTCATGAGCTCGGAGTGCGGCCCGGGACCCGCGGAGCAGGCGGCGGCGGCGGCGGCGTCGCCGCAGCAGCAGCGGCCCCAGGAGCAGGCGAGGGCGCGGGGCCCGAAGCGGACATCGCGGCGGGCACGGCGCCACGGAGACGAGCCTTATCACCCGCGCGGGGTAGGGACCGAGTCTCACGGGGCAGGGCCCCAGACCCACGGGGTAGGGCCCCAGACCCACAGGCCGGAGGCGCGGTATCACGGGGGGC